TGCTTTTTTAAAATAATAATATCTGAATAAATACATTTCCATGCATAAGGATTTTTGTGACAACCATATATACGTGGACGCACACATATTTGTCAGTTCAGTATAGAACAAATGCCCGGAATGTTGTACGTACAGTGTGAAATAAGAAGGTGAACCGTTCCCAGCCGAACATGTATAACAATAATAACGTTACGGCACGTCAAAACGTCAAATTGGTACTGTGTGTTGTCTAAGTTTTAAAATTGTATAATCTTTGTATTGATTGATTTTAAACAATGTCCGAAAATTTAAAATACGCTTTTAAAAAAGAAGTAATTGCTTAAAAATTTGTGTTTCATAATTAATTCGGTCATAGCATTAAAAGAAATTTCATACGTAACACCATTGGTTATACTGTGAGAAATTTATGTGAGAAAATTCTCATCCTCGCAAACGGAAAAGACATGCGCAACAATATATCGGTTTTATTACTTTTAAAGCTTCAGACAATAATAATAATAATAAAAAAAAATTTAAAAAAACCAACTGTTCATTTTTCATTGCTGTGTGTTTATATATACATATTGTTTTTCTTCTTTGCTTGTACTTTTTATCAATCGTTCTGAAAAAGTCAATATATGAATTAGGCAAAGTAAAAATTAATCAAGAGTTCTAGTGCAATAAAAATTATTAATTTGAACAAATGGTCAAGTGACGACTTAGCATAAATTACTTTGTACGACCGCAATGTACTTTCACTGTGCTCGAGTGCCGTTCTAGATCCTTTTCATAATTGTAGTGATTAGTTGTAATAAAAAGTATCTATTTAGGTTTTAGTCTAGGCCCTTGTGTAGCATAATAACGGATCTGCATATAGATTATTTAGGACGGTGGAGAGAAAATAGTCAATTAATTTAATAATAAATCGCTAAGAATGTCTTACCTTTGTTCTGCATGTCTTCTGTCACCATTGGATATGTTTATAAGATTCGCTGCTTTTGCAGTCTCCAGAGCTAGCGTTTCGTGGATTTTTCTTGCTTTCATTCTTGGTTAGCTTGTAGCCTCCAGGTCTTTTAGTTGTCACTTTTTATTATACTGTGTAATATTTAGTGACCGTTAACTAATGATTATTTGGAGATCGTGAGATGCGGTCTTGTGAAGTAGGTTTAGAGAAACAGTTTCTTTATTGTTTCTTGTTTTGCCTGCATTTTAACAACACTTTCAACACGATACACAACCGTGACACGTCTACACACAAAGCACGCACTTTGAGCCCTGAAGATGATCGAAATAAAGAAAAAAAAATTTTTAAACCTACATCCCACAAGACCGCGTCTCGATCTCCAAATATATTTTTGTTATACCCTCTACCAGGTAGTGGAAGTTTTTAGTGTGCTCATCCACTAGTTTAGTATTAATTTTCAATTAATCGTTTTTAGCACGGTCTGTATATCTGATTTGTTAGATATTCCAGCCCTCAGACATTAAACTGTTAGTCATTGGAAGAATATGATTTACTTACACTATGTTCACAGTGTCGCTCCTACATCACATCTTTTGGTAAAGTCTATGAAGATATTCATTGAGGGGAAATTTCTTGTTTAAAATAGAGTGTTTCTGTCCTGAATATGAGACAGAAAGAGAGAATCTTTTAAGACGGATCTTCCAGCGGAAAGAGGTGATCAAGCCGTTCAGCTATGAAACCTTGTTGGCAACAAGTAGTGGTGTTATATACAGATATATTTTTGACTTCCTAGAAGATAGCGGAATAGATATATAGACTATTCAAACAACAATCTATGTCCGGGAGGCCTGCCCGCGCGGCCGGGGCGGGCCGGCCGGGCGGCCGTCGGGGGGAGGAGTGGAGTGCTCAGGGCGCCTTTTGCCCCGGGTTGCGGGGAGGATGTGGACTTTTCCACAGCGATGTAAAGGTTTTTATCTATATCCTCCCAATGCACCCGTAAGAGAGGGCGGAGTTCCCAATTGTAAAAAAAAATAAGTCAGGGTGGGCGCTCTAGGTCTCTTCCCGGGGGTGGCTTTGGTCGGGTCGGGCGGGTGGTGTCGCTGGCAACACGGGACACTGGCCATATGCGTATAAGCAAAGCCACAATTTAAAAAATTAAAAAAAAATAAAAAATAGTGTTACTACTTTCGTCCGCTTTCGAGAGATATCCTTTAAAGATAGATTTTTATCGCCTGGTAGCTGTCTATGTAATTATGAGATGTAGTTTTAGATGTGCTTTTAATGACTTCACGATTAAAATTTTCCTAGGTCTTCCGAACTTTTTGCAAGAATGGAGCACTTTTTTATTTTGTTATTTTAAAGCCAACCTTTGCCGGGTCGGAGCCGACTGTCGTACGATTCAGCGTTCTCTTTTTTTTATCTGTCCCATAATTAAGGGGTTAAATACATAGAAAATGAATCTTCCATGCCGGTCCATGTGCCACAGTCGTATAGCCGGAGGTGTCCCCTAAACGTAAGAGTCCCTTATCGGAGGTTTCACTCGAGGATTTTCTGTTTGAATTTATACACTGAGGCTTAGCAATATATTAGTGTTTTTGATGATTTCTTCCTCTTATCCACAAAAGCTGCAGATAAGCTCATTGCACCCCTGTACATGGTTGTATTTGATAAAAGTGCCCAGTTCGCAGGTCAGTGAACAGTGAAATAATGAGTTATCCAAAGTGGTCAACGCTTCACAGTCTGTATTGAAACATGATGTCAGGGTTGTCATGAAACAGGATAGAACCTTGTATGATCACCAGGGTTGGCTGTTTATTTATTTATTTTTTAATCAAATGTTGAATTGGGTTAATTGGCAGGATTCTGTCGAGTTGCATTAATTTACTTATTAAACAGTTATTTTTTTAGGATTAAGATTTTGTTTTGGTATGACTAGTCGGCTGGTCGAAATCAAATCTCTGGCCGAATCGGCTCCAATAGTCAATATGATTCTATTTTCGTAGCATATTTTTATGCGCCCCAAAATAGCTAAATTTTTAGATATTCAAGCGGAGAAACGCATTTTTTAAGGTTAAGGTTATGAGTTGGCGTGCCATCGGATGGCTGATCGTCATCTAATTTACGGCCCGATCGGCTTCGACTGTCATGTATGAGATCCTCTTTTCGGTGCATGATTTTATTTGCTTCGGGTATTTTTCAGTTTCTTGGCTGTATGTCAATGTATTGATTGTTTCCCCTTGATTGAAAATAAAATAGACTTCTGCTATTAATTTCTAAATTTAAAATTCTGTTTTGGCTTGTGACCAAGCTGATTGACCTCTATCTACTGCATCTACTGTCATATACGATCCTTTTGCCGTAACATATTTTTATGCGCCCCAAAATACCTCAATTTTTGTCGTTCAAGCTGGGAAACACAAACGTTTTGACGTTTCAGCTGTTGACGTTCATTTCAGCTCATATCGGACCCATGTACCGTAACTGTAACTTTTTCGATTAAACTAAAATGTCAGTACTGTGTTCTACCTACTAGTTTTGACGGTTTGATAGGGATTTCCTTCCTAACCTTCCTTAAAAAGTTCATCATCGATTAACGTTGAATGTCATCCACGGGGTTGGTTCTCCTTGGTCGTATACCATGAAGAAAAACTTTCCCGAACGACGAATTGTGCTTTCATTAAAACTCCCTTCAGCAACAGCCTGATAAATTAAACATCGAATGCCTCCTTCAAAACAAGTAAAGCTTTGTTATTAAATAAAGAATTAACATTTATTACAGATTGTAAATATTTTTTATAACAATTTGTTGAAATCCTCATTAAACTATCATAATTAAAAATTTGTTATAAATTGTTTTGCGTAGGCAGCCAATAGATGCTCATTAAGGATTAGCAACCATGCCAACCATAAACCAATAAACCTCCAAATATAACTTCTAAATATAATCCATAAAGAGAGTGCTTGAGTTTTAACTTTACTAATTGGGTTGTTTACTTTAAACCGTTGACGTTTCGTTTCTCCCATACTTGTAAGCATCCAGGGTTATTTGCGCCTTCCTAATAAGTGCTGTCTTTGCCAATGCTTCAACGTTTCCCTTTGCCACACTATTACGATCAAATCGAGTACCGATCAAATAAGTGAATTGGGTATTTCATAGTGGTTCAAACAATCGAAACTTACTTTATGTTCTTGATCTTGAGACCACGAGCGTCTTCTTGAACGATTCCTTTAAAGAATCCAGGCGAACATTCACTTGAAGCGTGGGCTGCCTGCGTCGAAAAGTGGGTGTTCGAGGTTAACCCTGTGCACAACGGTACAATGATAGGCCGCGACCTAATCTAACGGTCACAAAACGACGGCAATTTGAGCAAAAACGATTACTCTTCCATTGTTTCCGATAATTTTAATTGTGATGCTTGATACGAACTGGTAGATCATAATTGAAAAGTCAATAATCTAATCTGAAATGATACTTGATAAAATGCGAAAGTGCAAGATTTTTTTATTTTTCAGGTTTCAGGAGATATGTATATAAAAAGCATGCCTTATGCGTACAATAAATTATGATAGAAGATATAAATATTTATTGTTTAGGCTAAAATAATTACCCAACACCCAACAGATGGGATCCAACGGTCTTCTTTCAATCTAAACAGAAATATTAAGGAATATCATTGGAAATTGTTCTTTCTTTAATGGCATTCGGTTTTCAGAGCGTATCCTCAAGTTTCACCCCTGTAAAATTCCCTATTAAATTATTTATTACCATCTTGGTCTGCTTTTTCTCGGTGGATTTTTACAGTCAGGCGTGTTTTGGCATTTCACCAACTTCAATGTTTGCGTGATTTCTGTGGCGAGGATAGGCAGACCAAGATGATAGGTCATCAAACCATAGATTTATCACCCCGCAGGCCACAGGAGTAAATCTCTCTATTTAATTATTATTCGCGAAAACGCACCAATTCAACCGTCCATAGACAGTGCTCAGTGTGGCTGGAGTTCCACCAGGAACGTTCGAACAGTCCCGGCAGGCATTTCGGCAGCAGGATGGTAAATACGTTTATGAAAATATGCGGTTTCGTGCTAAGGAATATCTGTTTACATCTGGAGGCGATGACCCATTCACCGCCACCTGGAAGGTGGAAGGGGACCCCACTCCGGTATGGCTTCTTCGATATCCGTCCTTTCAGTTGTTGGTGAAACGCAGGAGTGTGAGTATGTGTTGTACCTTACACTTCATTACACTGGCATCGGGTCCCTGAAACATACAGATATGAAGGTAAAATATTTCTTCACGGTTGTTTATTTTATTGATCTTTTCCATCTTTTCCTAACCATGGAGTAACTGTTTTCGAAAATTTAACGTCTAAATATGTCAAATCATGATTCATATGGTCACTAATGGTTTGAAACAAAATTCCATTTTTAATGGTTTAACTACTTGACTTTATTATTTATAAAAGACAACTAGGCAATCGCGTTGATTTTAATTTTTGGCAATTTTGAACATTCCCAGTAGGAATAAAATTTAATTTTTAATCTTTGAGTGGCTGTTTTGAAATATCATATTACTTTTATTTTACTTTCTATCTCTAAAATTTTGAAGTTTGAATACTAAAAAATGATAATAATATACACTTTACTTATCCTTTGGCAATTGTACCTGGTCAATTCCGATAACTATCCTTTGTTCTGATTCAGAAATAATTTCATTCACTGTTTTTATTGTGTTTTTCATTAAAAGCTGTTTAGAAGACAATAATTAACATTTATTTTGGCAATTTATCGGTGAGTAATCCGCAAATGTTGTATAAATTGTTATATTAGTCATTAAATATCTGCAGTCCTTTTGAAATAATCCATACTTATATGACAATTGCACAAAAATTTATCTCAAAAGAAATATTTATTTAATACAACTCCTCATTGCACTTCTTGTTGCAATTAAAAATATTTTAATAATTACGTTCTTTTGTACGGAAAATAATCGGAAAAAAGTATACCAAAGATAACAAGCACTTTTTCAACAATAAAGTCCCATATCTACCATTCGTTCGAAAGATGTCAAAGCCCCTTCACAACACAGATTGGATTTTCCTCACACCTTTTGATATATTGACATCAATGGTACAGTTCGCCCCCCTAGTTTTTTTTTCTTTCTTTCTGTAAGAAAACTGTAACTCCGGTTTTCAATTACGTCCTTAAGATATTCTAGGCCCAGAATTAGTACAACCTTGGTCAACTGTGAGTTAGTTGATAAGTGAAAACAAATGCTAAACACAATAGCAAACATTTCATTTCTAATATATGTAATCGTCTTAAAACGGCCTTAATAATAAGAGAAATAGGCTTTTAGAATAATTTGCATGCATCTAAATTACAAATTACCTGCAGTCTCGCTCAATCTTTTTTCTTATTTACTAATAGGCTTATCAATTTATATACATTTTTCTCTTTGCCTCTTTCCATAACAATTTTCAAAAAACACGACGTCATTCAGCATTCATTGTAGACAATGATCAAAATTAGTAAAGTGTGCAAGTATGGATTAAAAAGGTTAGTTGAGGGAAATGTCTCATCAAGTCGTATGGCAGTGGTAGAAATACTAATAGTTGGAAACAGTATTTGAAATTTTAAAAGTATTGGATCAAATTTTGAACTTTTGATATTAATCTAATAGGTATAGTACTGCCGAGGGTTTTAGATATATTCTTGATAATAATTGTTCTTCTAGAACGCTATTTAAAATGTTAAACTCTTTGTAATTAAAATGTTGGTTCATCGATTCAGAACATCCTCATCTGCTCTATTTTCGCTTCTTCCGTCTGTAACATGGTGTAACCAAAGCGAAATTTGGTGGTTCGCTATGTGTTATTTTGTAAGTGGTGTCCTATTTTTTAAAAAGCACACTTAACTCTACTGTCAACTCAATCTATATGCAAGGAGAAACTAGGAAGAGCTCATACAGATTCCATATTCCAATCAATTTGATAGGGACTAAAGATTTCGGACATTCGACTATAACAAATAAAATCGGACACCCATTTCTGGAAATGGGGATTGATTATACACAACCATTCTTTGCAACACCCATATAGAGTTTTTAAACAGACTATACAAATAAAAATGGAAATCAAAAACAATTATATTGCTAATCGATTGGTGAGCAAGGACCGGCATGGCGGCACATGCACATTGAAAAAAATGTATTCTAGAACTGTAAAATTTCACCTGCAAACTTGTGTAAGTCATAAAAGCATCTCAGTTTTCATGTCAAATACATAATCTAATTATAAACTATAAAACGCAATAAAAGTGTAGTATTTCTGTCATCAAACTAAATTCAGTATACTAGAAACACGTAAACATATATGGTATATAGATGGATCCAAAGCCAGTGGTAGAAACGGGTCGAATATGTTCTGTGCAAGCTCAAAATATGAACTATCAAACTAATTAGGGAAATACGCCTCTTCTTTCTTGCTGCAGTACATGTTATCAATGTTCGTAAACCTTAAAAAGAAATTACACTTATTTAAAAAAAAAAAAAACCTCATAAGATCAGTCAGCCAAGCTCCCCTAAAAGCATTAACACTTAAAAAGGTCACAACGAAAACATATCCAAAATCTCCAAAACCATGAAAAACATAACAACCTGAAAATATCTTGGGTGCAGGACAAAAATTTCGGGTAATGAACAAGCAGACTAATTGGCCAGAGGAGGATCTTTAAGACCAATTATACACCCAGTAACACGAGAATAACTAGATCAAACATAGACTCCTACTTCTCAGAATGGGTCCATACAAAACAAAAGAGAAATGTACGAGCTCTATAGATGCGAGACATATAAAACCGACGGTTAAAGAACCCTGGGCAAAATTGGCAAACACATGATTAAAGCTAGACAGACTCAGAGGATTGATAGGGCTATAGAGGGGTCGCTGGCTTTTGGGAAAACACCTACACAGCATGGATGTATTCAACAATGACCCCATTTGTAGGTTATGCAATTAGGATGAAGAATCTACCGCCCGTATTATTTTCGTATCCGAAGCAATCACTCATTAGAGACATAACCTAGGTCACCACGAAGACCCGGAATGACCAATTATGTACTTTTTGAAAGAAGGTTTAAGTCAATTGAACTGATCTAATGAAGGAGGAAAATACAATAAACTAGAAGTGTGGTGTTTGGGAAATATAGAACCCCCGCTTTTAGTATATAATTTTATTGTAATCATCATCGTATCCATTTTGATGTGGCAACGAAAATATCCTAGACGTATGCCAAACGTTATGTCAACATACCACTTCACTTTTTACAATCCAAAGGACACGAATAACAACATAATGGCAAAACCAGCGATACTTAGCAGACAAGGAAGCTCAGAGACTTCAGGTTCACTTATGAGGGCAAAATTGTATATAAAGGTGTAGTTTGTACCTGAAGTTAAGCAATTACACTACTTAACCAACCTCTCATCTCACTGTATCCATTTCAGGGCCTATCTCTCCATAAAACTAATGAATAAGACAAAAGAACATTGAAACTTGGTCGTTCACTCATTATAACTTTGTTCCTGTCAAAGGATCCGGACTAAATCATAATTATTAATCCCATCAGACCGAAGGGCTTTCGCGGATGAAAGCGCTTTCTCACGCATGTACGATCTCACATAACACACATTTCATGCAAGGTGTTGTTTTACAACCTTTGAAACGTGACAGATTGAACATGGCAAATTGGAAATTAAATATCCTTCCTAAACTTATTCGTTCAAAAATAATTCTGTACGTTGTTAATAATTTAATTTATAAGTACAGCTAGTGTTTCACAATCAACGGAGAGATTATATGTTATATGGGTTAAAGCAAAGGAAAAGTCTTAAGTTCCAGTGGGCGAAATACCCTCATCATATAGCACAGACGCAAAAATACGATATTCCCATATTCCTTCTCTTGAGAAGAGAAAAAAGTATCAACGAATGTGTTTCAGTTAATCTGTACGTGGTTCGGAGGAACGTGTCTTTGAAAGTGATTAACCGGATAAGGCAATTAACGAGCATGCAATTTCAGGGAGTTTGATATAGGTAATTGCTTCGGAATTGGTCACGGAAACACTCCATCTCCGTTGGGACTTGAAAATTTGCATATCAAACGGCATCGAGCAATCGTAATCGTGCCGAAAAATCGGTTCGAAAAGCCCATTTTTTAACCTTGGAAACAACAGGTGCAATTATGTCCTTCCCGCATGCTGAAATTTTAAATTGTCAGCCTTTGTTTCCGGCATTGGCAGAATTAAACAAGCAGGATTTGTCACAAAAAAAACTTCAATAATTTCTTGTTTTATATTAGTTGTTACAAAATACACCAGGCCTTTCGTTTAAACTTTCCAACCTGTTGCACTTTTGAAAGCAGACCGCAAGTTATCACGGTATAGTCCGTGCCCTGTTTTATCTCCTCTGTAATCAGCCAGACCAAAAGAAAGACAAAACCGCTAAATCACTTTTACTCGATAAAAAAAAAATCACGTGTAAAAGAAACAGTATAGTTTTAATCCAAAAACAGCAAATAAATCTATTCTGGGTTGCAAAGGATGCTCATCGAGTCACTAAAAATTAAAGTATATGATTCAATAACAAACCTTTTATTATTTCAATAATTAAGATGATTAATACATTTTATATTACAATATTGTCTGTCCATTTTAAAAACTTTTGACTTTCTAAAGAGATACCTAATAGGTTCAAAAAAAGTGTCGTTTAACAATACTCTATTTGAATATAAGAGGGTTCATTGTTAATGATAAAAACGAAAAAAGAATGTTTAACAATTTAAAAAATGTAAAAAGTAGCACTATTGTTCTTGCAGGTGGAAATGGATGGCTACCCCGTGAGAGAAACCTTTCTCTCATTGTACGGTCGAGCAGCTCATTTCCACAGAGTTCCAACAGATTTTTTTTTTCTTTTGCAATGGCCCATTTCGTTTGTTCTCTCTGGTCCGGTTCCAATGGGAATTACATTCAAAACATATTATGTGACAATTGAACAACAGTACCAGTTGATTGTATATAACTAAACAAAACTACGTTCACAATTGTTTCCCATAAGTCTGAGAAAGATGGTTTTTTCCGGACGGAAAGGTTAAGGTTCAACGACAGAGAAGACCTAGTCCGAGGTTAGTTGATTTATTCGATGGTGAACCTTTTCGTGTAACATTTTAAGGAAATGTTGAATCTTTTTGGCAATTTTATTATTCCATCCTCACAAGACTTTTTTAACTTTTAATCCCCTTATTAGTCCAACCGGAAAGTGTTTTTTCTTCCAAAGATATTTCTTGGACGGAACAGAAATCAGAATCTGGATTATCATCGCAAGTGCAACATTATTTTTTTAGTCGCCAATGACAAAACATTGTTATGTCAGAAAAACACTTACCACAGCAAGAGGATTTTTATTAATTTCATTAAATCCATTATATTTAGTAGTCTATTGACCAAATTACTTCTTTCAATTAATTAATCTTTTACGTAAGGTTTTTGATTGAAATGAAAAACTTAGTGCCATATAATTAAACAAAAATACGTTCACAATTGTTTCCCCTACGGCTAAAAAATATGGTTCCTTCCGGACGGAAAGGTTAAGGCAAATAGCTCAAGTGGTAGAGGAGTGGCGTATTTAGCCTAAGGTCGTAGGTTCGAATCCCGCTCGTGGTACTAATTTTTTCATTTCAACCAAAAACCTTACATAAAAAGATTAATTTCATTGATTCATTTTCAGGAAATAGCACATTGCACAACAAACTTCCGTGTTTTTCATATTCGTTTGATTTTTTCTTACTAATCTTCTTAGGGTTAAAACTTTCCTTGGGGGTTGTTGAAATAAATTCCTGTATCGTTTAAACAGAAATAGATTAATTTTAAAGAAGATGAAACATATAAATCTAATGCCTGATTCAGCCCCCAGAAAATTGCACTCTTCATACATCACAGCCTTAAAAAGTTAACGGCATTTTAACCAATTGAACCATAAATTTCTGCACCGTATGCTGTAAATTGTTAAGAAAGCTAATTGGATTTCGATCAACACCGACTTGATCCAGAATAAGTCCGGATGTCCTAGACCCGGTAAACAAAGGGCTTACAAAGCGTGTTCCAAATATTTTGTAAATATTTTTTAATGCGTTATTTGTTTAAATTCCATTGTGATATGAACACCATCCGTATCCAAAATAGAAATAAAAATATTTTTTGATAGAATGACCGTCAGTTAAGAACTTAATTTTTACAGCTATTTATATGTTGGGAGCTTCTTTCTCGTTTATTTATTAATAATTTGAAAAAACACGTCTTCTTTTTATTCTGTTAAATAGAGATTTTTGATAAATACAAAGTTTATACCAGAACCAATAGTAGTAACTGGTTCACCTCAACGATTCCAGCCGTCTACATGCTCAAGATACTTACAACATGCATATTCAACATGTATATTTCTCTTATTGAATATTCATGAACTGATCTTTTTTTCTTTTTTTACAAAAGGTACAGTCAGTATATTATTTTTCATATATTCATATATTAAAAATTTCCGATTAAAGGTTACCAATACCACAGAGTACTCGATTAATGGAATTATGAACCTGGGTTAATTGGAAATAAGTCCTTCCATTCATGCTAATAAATTACATATACACAGCACAAATCATTCACACTACCCCAGAGTACTCCACGTTCCTTTGGGTACTTATTGCCACCGGTTTTTGTAAATATCACTCAGTGCAGGATATGATACATACGTTCTGTATGTTCTAAACAAAAAAAGGAATAAAAAGAAAAGAAAATAACGGGTCAAAGGTATAGTATGAGACGCGAAGGACAAAAGAAAGGAGGTTTTGAAGGAAGGTCAGTATCTGGCACTTTCATTTTACTCAGTGAAAGAAAATCAATGTTATTAATGTACCGGAAACTACCAATATCTATCACCTTCTTTATTATATATTAAAAGAGAAATCATTACAATTACCATCCAAATTCACCTTACTATCAAGTCTGAAGGACAATATTTTACGCAAGCAGACATTCCTTAAGTAAATTTAAATAAAAGTGGACCAAAGACAGAACTCTGTAGTACTCCTAAATTAACAAATTCCCAAGATGATCTTTGCATCTACCTAAATCATAGTTTGTTTTATTTCAGTTAAGTATGATTCCATCTATCTAATAAAACTGAACAAAAAGTTTAACTGTTCAATATATGCACATGCGATTCACTGAATGAACCAAAGGTTTTGGAAAAGTAAAATCGCAACAAAAACCTAAACATGGAAAAAAGGGGCAAGTTTCAGACCCCCTCAAAAACAAATAGCCTTTCAATGTAATGATATCTACCCTGTGGTCAAGTCCGTTCTTTTTTTATACATAATCTGAGAGAAGTGAAAAGAAAAAAAGAAAAGTTACAGACTTCCTCTCAAAAAAGTAAAAAAAAAAAAAAATCAGGCTATCAAAGTATAGGCAGGTAAGTATATATAATCTCTACATTATGGTCAACCTCACTTCACTCCTACTTTTATGGGCCACATAGCTCTTTTATTTTTATTGGTTAACTCTTGGCGTTTATTGGTTCATTAAGCGTCAGGACCATGTTTCCTCACAAAGGAGAGGTGGGTGAAGGGAAGGTAAAGAACTCATAAGAAAAGAAAAAAGTTCCAGACTCCTTTTTGCTCATTCAGAGTACGCATGAGTAACATGTGATTCACTGAACCAAAGGTTTTGGAAAATTTGGGCAAGTTAAATAAACAGGTGGATAAATAGATAGGTACATATATAGATAAAAAATAGATAGATAGATAGACAGATTGAGAGAGAGTTAAATGTAGAGTAATGGATATTTGGCTACCTTATAAGAAATGTTATACCTTAATTGTAAGATTAAATTTTTGAATTTAGACTTAAGTAATAATTAAGTTTAACTATATTTTTAACGGGAGCTTGGGGCTAAGGTGTTACGTAGACAGTTTATATAATACATTTCAGTATCTTTGAATTATATTTTATATGTGATAGGATAAAATAAGCGTGTATTTATTAGATAGAGGCAGCCAGTGAACTCCAAGTAAAAGAACGGGCTTACCCGCATTCTAACAACCCGCACTTGGAACGGCTAACTTTAAATAATTATCGCACAATTTATCATAATCAGCAAGGGAACGCCGTGCCGTTCACCCGTCAAACGAAGTACACACTGTAAAACGAGAGTTTGCCTCAAATGGGGCGGGGCAAATTGAAAAATTACTCGTGTTTCAGTCTAAATATAGAGGAAAATAGGCGAACAGGAGATGGCCAGTTTTGGTATAACTGCTATCAACTTGCAGACCAAGAGGCGTCGTTTAAGTTGGAGAAATCTCACAGTTTCACTAATAAACAGAAAATTACTGGTGCCATTTAAGAAAAAAATGTTTGAATAAGTCGAACTGTTTGAAACAGTCAGTTGATAAAACTATTGCGTCAATAGACGTTTTACAGCACTTGTCCGCTATCTCTTATCAAAAATTGGTCTTTTTGCAAAGAAACAAATTTTTTTTTTCAATTTGTTATATTTTTAAAAATTGTTTCAGTTCAAGCAAATTCGCTGTATTGATGAATCGATTAAGATACATATATATTTATTGCCATGGAGTATTCTTAAGACTAAAACTTCTCTTCTTAGAGTAAAAGTACGACGTACCTAACTCACTTAATCCAGCACAAGTACTTTAAACTTATCTCTTTTTAATTAACAAAAACTATTCATTGCTCTCATTAATCTGGTGGATTAAAGCTCAACAAAAACAAGCTACTCAAACATTAGGCAGTGTGCAAAGATTGGAAAGTCTATCTTCGCAGGGAAATAACAACAACGACATCAAATACCTTAGGAACATTAGTAAACCTACCTCCATTGGAAAAAATATATACAAGGATAAGCTAGGAAAAACTCATACAGACGCCACAAGCAAATAAATTGGACGGGGACCAAATATTTCGAGCAAAAAGGAATGTTAAATAAAAAGTAGAAACGTACTTAGGATTAAAGGGCACAACAAAGGAGAAGAAGAATCAGGAGAAAATCAACACAATTTATACGTTGTCCAAATGGCTCCAAAATCAGTGATGGAACCGGGTCAGGTATGTTCTGTGCAAGCAATATGAACAATCAAACTCATTAGGGAAGCATACCTCCGTCTTACTGTAAGCTGCTCGTGAGTGCCATAAACAATTTATTCCCATTAGTCAACAATTGTCAAAAGAAACAAACCTAGAATGATTAAAAAACCCACACCAAAACTGGTAAACAGATTGCTATAATTAAACTGAGTAAAATTCGAGAAAGTGATAGGGATGTATAGAGGTCACTGGCATCTAAGAAAGCACCTATGGGTATATACAATGCTGACACTATTTAAAGGTTGTGCATTGATGAGGAAGAAACTACCTATAGTGTTATCGTCGAATAGGCAAAAAGGCCCAGGAAAAAGAATTGCAATCATGACCGTCAATTTCTTATTATGTACATATTAAAAGAAGGTCGATCCAAATGAACTGAACTAAGGAACTAGGAAAAAAACAAAAACTCAGTGTTTCGGAAGACTGAACCCTTGCTTCCTAGTATCCTTTTCATCATCCAAAGTATAATGTAGTGAAATGTCACATAGTTTAAATTAACAAAATTATTTTTTTCATTTAAAACTAATATACAATTTTCTTTTAAAAGAGAATGCATGGTAAGAGGGTAAACAATTGAATTTTTTTTTTTATAACTATTTGAATACTCTAAATATTGCAAATACATTATCGTTCTATCATTGATCAGGTAGACTATTTGGCGTTTGCTTAGACATAACGTTATCACAAAAACTAATTAACAGTTATTACTTTTTTCTTTTAAGGGAACAAACAAAGCCACTTCAGAGACATCGCAGAATGTTGACCCAGCCTTCAGAAGTATATGTAAAGCATCTTGGGCTTTTCTGATTTGGCGAGTCGAGGTAAATATATCCATCATAAAAAATTTAAAATGTTTAGTTATTAATTTTCTCTCTTGACTAACCACGCGTACAAACAGCAGGATAGATGGACTGTTTAGTCCATTCTGATAGTTTGATAATTTATTATATTTGTTCATTTGACTTATAAACGGAAACATGGACCAATTTGTCATTAGTTTGATGTCTGATATGTGACTGACACTGCTGTGCCATTCGTTCTTGTCTGTTTGATCAACAGTTTTTATATATTTGACTCACCAATCAATACAGTATAAAACCTGTTGTGACTTGAGTTTGATCAATGGTGATAGTTTATCTCACATTTCCTCGTGCCTTACTAGTTGAATGTGTAGTGTACGATTGGTCCTATCAGATTTTAAGTTTGACTGACCAGCCCATACAAAAAGCCCATATATTCTATATTTTGTGCCAAAAACACAAAAGCGAGAATAGATGGACTTTTGGTACTACCGGTTTGGCCAATTATCACAGTTTGACAAATGTCAGCTTAATCAATACTGTTATTTATTGGATTATCAATTTTGTTTTATTTGAGAAGACTCGAGTGGACTCAAGCTCCTTAAGAAAATGATAACTGGTGGAATTGTTCATGAAACAATTTTTCATGAAAAAGAAAGGGGAAGATTTTTATGATTTATGAATGTTTGAATATCATTTATTGAATTTATAGAGAGTAATCAAACTGTATTTATAGGTAGAGTAATCAAATGGACGGACGCCCCTAATGGTTATATAATGTTTTACTCTATGAAATACTGCACTAGTTTTCTGGGATAGAGAATCCGAGCTTTATGAATAAAATGTAATGAGAAATTAATCTTTTTATGTAAAGTTTTGGTTTAAATGAAAAAGCTAATAGATGAACTGTTATGTCACTATGATCAGCTCTATCAGTTTTAAATTTTCAATAACTACCTCCTTGGTTGACACACGGGCACCTACTTTTGGACCAAAGCCCGCGCAGGTGCCCTTATGCAGAGAAAGGTTGCTCGATGTGTCCCACATAATAGAGGGGTGTCAAGCCTTAGCTCCATATAGAGAGCGTGTAGGCATGCCTCCGATCTAAGAAGAGTTGTCGAACACGATAGCGAGTTCCCCCCCCCGTTCCGCTTTTTAGGGGAATTGGGAAATTTTTATTGTATATAGCCTTCAAATTATGTGTTTTGTGTTTCGGTGTTTTGTATGAATGAGTGTATTTATTAGAGTGAATGGGTAGGGCTGGTGGTGGAATAGCATCCCCATCGCCCCTCGAGCTGTGTACGGGACTTGGGTCGATAGCGGAATATTTATAATAATTTTCAATAACTACTAACAGCTAGAAATAAATGAACTGTTGTTTAATCAGTTTTATCAATTCTAATTGGCTTGTTATTAACGCTAACAGTAATGTGTGGTGATTAGTGACCGTTAATCGATATTTATTTAGAAATCGTGAGATGCGGTCTGGTGTGAAGTAGGTTTCACCTCAAAGAAGCCGACGCCTTATACAAAAATGTCTTTTCTATACCGACATCCTTCCCCACCCCTTAAAAATCCAACGTATATAAACACAAAATAGCAAAATCTCACTGGCACTGTCGACACGACACGCAAGAATGGCACAATTACACAACAAGAAGAAGAAGACAAACACTTTGAGTGAGTAGAAATACTTTGATTGAATATATAAAAAAATATATTTTGCATTGTATAAATTCACTTTTCCACATCCAAAATGTAATTGTTATATATTGTTATATGTAAATAATATTTGTAAATCCCAGGCCCTGAAGATGATCTCAATAAAGATCGAAACGTTGGCACGATAAAGAAAATTTTTTTCTGAAACCTACACCAGACCTCATCTCACGATTTCTAAATACAAAAAAAGCTAACTGTAATGTACATGAAATGTATGCTTACTGTTTTAGCAGTCCCTGCAAAACAATTACCAGTTGTTTTAGTTAGCTAACTATTGTGTCTGATAATTTAAACTGTTCCTATAGTCATTTATTTAAATATATTTTAAACCGCTGGTCTGTTTTATTTCAGAATTTGCAACTAGTGTCAATCCCTAGAGAACAATACGGTACATTTTACGACGGTGATTCTTATGTGGTTTATGCAGCTTCTGAATATGGAAAACACGTTGGCCCAAACACGAAGGTAAATTTTAAATTTCTTTAATGCTGCAGGATAGCCAATTTAATTAGGTAGTCGACTCATAGTCGCCGTATGACTGTATGGTTTAAAGCCTGTCAATGGCTTCTTAGTTTAGTTAATGTTCGAAATTATTTATTAAATGCATGAAGTAATTTAAAACAAGACGTACTTCTGTCAAAAACACCGGCAAAAAAAGTCATTCTCTAATTTCCTTTCTACCAATTTTCTGGACGTAGACTTGGAGATACAATAAACAGTCATTCAACCCAGCAGAACCGGATGTTGTAAATTTTGTCTGGTCGAAAATATCAGCGATATCCAGTTGGGAATAGCTAATTTGACACCTATTTCAAGTCATGAACAAACGCCGGACGTAAACTAATGACGGAAGATTGCCCTTTTTTTTATTATTAGACAATACAACACACAACTCGACCGTTACGGCGATTCAAAGCACGACTCGTTTTCAGAACAAAGAGATCCACGGTAAAATGGAAATGCACATCCATTTCTGGCTGGGTCAAAACACAAGCCAGGACGAAAGTGCTGTCGCCGCGTTCAAAAGCGTTGAACTGGACGATTATTTGGGAGGAACGCCCGTCCAGCACAGAGAGGTCAGAGGGTATGAATCGGCAAGATTCAAGGCATATTTCAAAGACGGTATAAGGTACAAAAGCTCAGTGTACAATTTACACCGAACAATCCCTTTTAATTATGTATGTTCGAAGGGTAATGATTGGCGGAGTCGAAACCGGCTTGAAAACTATTAACAACAACGTGGAAGCCAGGCTTTTCCGTGTCAAAGGAAGAAGAAGCCCCGTTCTCACACAGATGCCAGCCGTTTCTTGGGACTATTTCAATTCCGGCGACGTCTTTATAATCGACACAAAAGACGTCGTGTTCGTCTGGTCCGGACGTACGGCCAATTCAATGGAAAAGCTTCAAGCCGCGAAGGTCTCATCATTGACACAAGTGCGCATGATGTTCCCAATCAAAAACAAATAAATTTTTTAGGTGGCGACCCAATTCAAAGACGAGAGAAACGCTTTGTCTATAGTTTTCGTCGACGACGGAAAAGAACTGGAACTAACCGTACCTGAACAAACACTACTCGGTTTCTATCTGGAACTCAGCCCGTTGGCCAAAAGGTATTGAATATAAATTACTAAAACTAGAAACATCTATTAATATTATCGAATTATCTGTTATGTTTTTATTAGAAACATACCAGACCACTCAGGTGATGATTTGCAGGTTGAAGCCAACATCCGTTCGGCATTGAAGCTTTATAGGTGTACTGATGCGGATGGAATTTACAAAGTAATCGAAGTAAAAACTGGCGCTTTGGAGCAAAACGATCTAAACCCCAATGTAAGTTGTTCATTGTTAAAATTATCAAACAAAAAGAAGATTACTTTGCAGTGACGATTCATCCTTTTGATTTCAGGATTCCTACATCATCGACAACGGCCCGTACCACATTTGGGTCTGGGTCGGAAAACACGCTTCGGCCAAAGAAAGGGTCGAGGCAATGAGGAACGGCCACGGTTTTTTGAAAAAGAAAAATTACCCCGTGCACTGCGGGATTACTCGGGTGGTCGACGGTGGGGAGCCGATAGAGTTCAAAGTTATCTTCACGTCCTGGAGAGAGGACGAAATCAGGCCCATCATCAAGACGGTGAATGCGGGTAAAACACAATTTGATTCCTTTCCAAATTTTAAACTCAATATTACGGACTTAAGAATTTAGTAAGTTCCATATTGGCTGTTATAATATTGGCAGTTATCCACACAATCTTTCACTCTTTTTATTAGTTTGTAACAAAAGTCAAACGTTTTCGAAATATATGAAGTTGATTTCAACCAACTGAACCCATATCCTCAATCAAGTTAGTTTCAAGGGGCATACTAGAAAACCAGCCTCATAAAGTGGTAGGTGAACTCCCCTAACGTATTGACCCTAGTGTCAGCACATAGGGGAGTGACTTTCGGGGTGAAAGTCCAATATCATTCTTTACTAAATAAAGAAGCTTAGCAGAAATTGTGACATGAGGTAGTCCGAAAGAGAGAAGTCGGAAAACGAGGCAGAAATGTTTGATGTGCCAGTGCGTTGATGTTTGTTTTTACAGATTATTTATCGTTAAGAATATCATGTGCCTTCTCAAATCGAGCTGAATAGATTCTCGATTTATAGCCTAAACCAAATTCCGACTCAAATCGATCTAATTTTTAATTTACAAGGGGGGGAGGTTGGTGTGTCACTGATTTGGACCAAACTTTTTTTGTTGATTCTTCACTCTAAAATATAGGACACGAATCCGCCACTTCTTGTGAATAGACCCTGGTTTCGTCAAAAAAAAAATTTGGACATTGAAATTTTCCGTTTTTTGATATTTTTGTTTTGCCGTTCTACTGAAATCAGCTATGTTAATATATCATTTTACAACATCTTTTATATAGATGGCAATAAAAATATAGTAAAAGCTATCAATACCCAAAAAAAATTTAAAAACCAAAAATTTTTGAAGTAAACTAAGTCATAAAAAAAATTCGTGAAATTAATATGAAATTTTGTTTTCGCACCTTTAGTTTCGCACCTAAATATAAATTTTGGTTTGAATTTAAATCCCTATTCACAAGAAGTGGCGGATACGTGACCGATATTTTGGAGTGTAGAATTACAAATAAAAAAGTTCAGTCCAAATTCGTAACACTGTAACCTGGTCGTCCCCTTGTTAATTCGTTCATTTGTTATTAAAGTTTTATCATAAATTTTCAATCTTTTAATGCACATTTTTACAAAATATTTATTATGTACTGAATTGAGTCTGATTAATTTTTATCCATTATATTTCGTGGTCTGATTGACCAAATAACTTCTTTCACTTAATTAATTTTTATGTAAGGTATTGGTTTAAATGAAAAAATTTTCGGGGATTCGAACCCACGACCACTTGTGCTATTGTGAATTCGATCCACTCGGACATCAACTTCCCATCCCAATCTACCTTTCGACTTTTCCCTCCTTTTTGCCATTTTTCAAATGTTGTGTAATCAGGATTCTTCAATTTTTATTGTAAAAACAAGGATAAACTTATCTTACAAACTAGTACACGCCTGTAATTCACGACTTCTATTTCTAAATATAGGAGATGCGAGGTTCTAAATATAGCAAAGCGATCGAGGTAAAGTATCAAAATGTAATTAATTCAAGTTTAATTTACCAAGATCTTTGAACATTTTTACTTAATAACGTAAAGAAATGAATTTAAAATATGCCTTTTCCAGTAGACCTTAATGTCTTAAGGTAACTTAAAATGTTTTTATGTATAAAAATAAATCTGGGTTGTTTAGTTAGTTTATGAAATATTTTTGATGTCTCAATTAAAAGAAACCAAATATGTATTTTTAACAGAAAGATATAACCTGCAATTTCGACATTTTCATTCCTTTTGGCCTGGCTATCCTCGTTGTTTTTGGCCCATCAGTCTCATTTTCCCTTCCCGCTATCTTCAGTGGGAAGTCTGTCAAATGTATAAAAAGGATTGGCCAAATAAGTCACAGGGACACCACTGAAGGAGACGAGAAGCCAAGATTCTCGCTTGACAGACCGAAATAATCGGAAATGACCGAACCTCGCAGAGGAATTCTCACAAAAAGATATCCGCTTGCCTAGCCAACCTTATATTTATTCCAACGCTATTAAATTAATAATGTCAAATCTTAATTCTTTTATAACCGCTTAAAACACCACTCTGTTATAAATTACTTTGCAGGAATGATGCTTATTTCAAGTTATCAGAAATTCTTGTTTTTTCACTAAGAATAATTGGAAAAAAAATAGAATAGAAAATAACTAGAATAGAACCGAATAGGTTCACTTATTACCCACATACACAATGTTCACGGTTTAATAAAATTATCTCCGGATTAATGCTATACGAGGAACACACCATAGGACGTTTTGAAAAACGGTTGTTCTGAAATTTCCAAGCCGAATATTGCTAAAAATGATAATGGTTATCCGATGGTACAGATCTTCGTCGATTGTCCTTGCCCTCTCAGAGTTCCTTTTGTAAAGGATTTCAACCGTGAACGAGAGCAATCTCGGCGAACCATCTCCACAGTTCACCGCCCGATCCATCCCAAACATCCCGTCCCGTTTACCAATCTACTTTACACAAATGTTTCCACAAGAAACAATCCGTCTTCCCTTTTCAGGCAACAGCGTTAAGCACGTTCCGATCAAGTTGGACGCGGCCACTCTTCACAATGACCCACACTTGGCTGCACAAGAGCAACTATTGGACGACGGAGGTGGTTCATTGACTGTTTGGAAAATCAGATCAACTTCGCTGGAAGAAATGCCGAAGACAAACTGGAATGTCCTGTACTCAGCCGAAAGTTATCTCATCCAGTACGTTTATACCTTTGAGGATAAAACTGCCAACATTCTGTATCATTGGAAGGTAGTTCACTTTTTCAAAATTTTAATACTTTATTATTAAATAGAAACAAAAACAAGGTTTATTCGATTAATCTTTCAATTGCCAAACAAACAATATTATATCTGCTATAATTTTAAATTATTTTCCAATAAAGGTTACTAATTAAACGTAAAAATAACTATTAAACGATTGCTTTTAAGTCCGTTTGTTGTTGGTTGAAGATCCCAGTTTTTAAGGTATTAAGGACATGTTTTGACTCCAGACAAGTTTTGGTGTAATCTCATAGGCTTGGAGAGCTTTTAGAGCTGCCTGACTCTCTTAAAGAATAATTATCCGTCCTTTCACCCCGAAGGGTTGTCACTCCCCGATTGCTGACTCTACGATCTATACCTTAAGCCAGACGCTCAGGACATCGTCCCTTAGTGTTGTACCTTTGACCTTGATTTTTGTTCATTTCATGTGCACAGATTTAAATGGCTAGCAGGTCAGCTAGAAAGATGGTTGTGGTGTGGTCAAAGGCCATGTGGAGTTGAAAATAAAACTCCTTTACGATGCCCGTACCGTTTTCCATCTTTGAGCCGTCCGTCACCGCAGAAGAGCTCCAAGTGTTTAACTTCTTTTGCTTATGTTTCCAGATAGCTTTATTTTCAAAAATTATTTTGAAAGGTTTTTTCAAAGTTTAGTAGTTTGATAAGTCAGCAATAGGTTTAGCCATGTCCGTCTATCTTGGTGACCGTTAATGAAACTTTGTCAAAGATTTTGAACTGCTCCATCGCCGCCATCCTTTTCACGTATATAGGTAAGGGGCAGATGTTCCCATCTTTACACCCGGGTGTTGAGACCCATGAGGATCTTTAACGTCTGGACTTATCCCCGAAGGGACTTGTCAGACGCCTAGTATTCTCAAAGAGAACACCAGGAAGATTTTACATGCATGGACTTGGATCCATACATGTGCCTTAAAAAAGGCAGTTTTGTGGTTTCTGGCACAGCTTTTCAGCCGTGCCTTTCACCACCCCAGGAGAGATAGAGAAGGCACTCTATCTCCGGCTCCGGTTGGCCAGTACCCTCCAGCTAAGGTACAATTTGTTTGCAAACCCCCTCCACTACGAGTCCAACCTCAATTAGTAGAGACGCTTTGATACTCTATTCCCGTGGTTCAGTATAATTTTTAAGGTGCGGCTGATCGCCCTCCCCTGAGTTCGTATGAACCCCTACTGATGCACCCGTTGCCTGAAGGGTGCGGAATCAGTAACCCAGGAAGCCTCTGCCAAAGAAGAATAGGGAAGGTAAGGGGAAATTTTGTGTCCACCATTGGCACTGGAGCTGATGGTAGGACTTGCCTAGGCCCATAGGGATGGATAGGTAAGGGGCAAGAAGAAGTTTAAAATTAATGTAGTTCCTAAGTAACGTATTCTAAACAAATTTTGCAATGCATGTCCCACCCCGGAAGAAAGAACGCCACCAATCTCTCCACGTTCTTTTGCGAGGTGATGTCCTGTCAGTATTATGCAATCTGATCGATAAATTCCTAAATTGTAATATAGCCTTCTTTTAAAAACTGAAGTTTTTCAAACATTTGCGTTTGAATGCACATTTCCTCTTGATTAATTTATTTTATCAAGTTCCAATCGACAAAATTGCTTTTCTTGGTAGTCGCGTTAGTCGCGTGAATGGATCGTCCCATGATAACTGTTGATCTGTACTGTTATTAAGAGCACACTTCCATTCACGCTCACTTTTCTTCTAACAAATGGATCGTTATCTTTGTGCTTTGAAGGGAACCACAAAGAAAATATTGCCTTTTTATGTTAAATGAGCGTGACCCGACTATCTGTTATTCGGAGAATATCTCTCGCCACAGTCGACTGGTTTTCGTGGATGATATTTAAAACAACTATCACTAATAGACTTACACTTTGTGTTTGTATCTGTTTTTATGTGTATGTAAAAGAAAAGTCTTAAATTAATTCGTATGTAAGGTCGGTTGTTAGCCCTCGGCCTGTCTTCCTGCCCAGTACGCAACTTCAAAATGTTCAATCTATGTTAAAATAACGTTTTAATATTTATAACTGTAGACATTTCATGAAGAAGAAGCAGTAAATAATCATTCATTTTATAAAGAAGAGGATTTTATCATATCGTTATCGAAATAACAAAAAAAATATTCTTGGTTCAATTTTATTTTTCTCTATTCATATTTGGGAATAAATTGTATTCATTCTAGAAAATTTTTAGACTTTAGACTTTTATATTGTTTAAAAAAACCCGTTGCGGCTAATGTTTAAGTTACTGGATACGTTAATTTTAGGGAGAAGACAAAATAGAAACAGATAAAAACTCTCTTGGGTCTCTCATGATGTCGCAAGAAGTATCTCTTTCCAAATCGACGGTACAGGTGAGGACTTACCAGGGCAAAGAGCCTCCACACTTACTTGCTGCTTTTAAAGGAAAACTGGTCGTCTTTAAAGGAGCGCAGAAAACTTCACTGCCCAAGACTTTCCTCCTTCAAGTCAAAGGAAACCAGATTTACAACACGTCTGCCTGCCAAGTAAATAATTATATTCTTGTTTATCCTCTTTAATTTATTGATTATGTACTTATTTTTTTGGTTTTAGCAACTGTTAAAACGTTCCTCACTGAATTCCAACTGTGTTTTCATTTTGGGAAACGAAGAAAATGTTTTTATTTGGTGTGGAAAAGGTTCAACGGGAGATGAAAGGGAAATGGCCAAAAGCGTCGCCAAATCCATTAGTGATGGTGAACTCGTGGTGCTTTACGAAGGTGAAATATCACATACGTATTTATTGGAAAAGATGGTTTTACTTGCAGTTTGTTTTGAGAGGAACCATGTTTTCTATTAAGTTAATCTAACTTAATCATTTCTACCACATTTATTTATTTATTTTTTAATCTTTCTTTAATCAATAACGTAAAATGTTAAACTAGGTAATTTTTATAAATAAGTATCATTTTTCAGTGAAAACTTTTATTTTAACGTGTTATTTTTAGTAATGATTACGTTTTTATAAAACAGGACTTGAAAAGCCTGATTTCTGGAAAATCCTCGGTACCGAAGGGGTCTATGCTAACGTAAGGAGTAAGAAACTTTCAAGCAAAGTAACTTCCACCAGGTTGTTTCATTGTTCCAATGCGAGTAGAACTTTTACCGGTGAGCCTTTCGTACAAAAATATTGTTCCTTAACCTTTTACAATTGTCGATCTTTCAATTTTTCAGTCGAAGAGATAATGAATTTCCATCAAAGCGACCTGATCCAGGAAGACATTATGGTGCTGGATGCATTCCATACACTATTCATATGGGTCGGAAATCTGGCCAATAAAGAAGAGAAAATCAAAGCAGTCGACTTTGCATACGAATATCTAGAAACAGGTATGACAGAAATAATGACGAAAAACAAAAAATAAAAATAGTTAAGAAATTGACAAAATAAGATCCTCTTAAAAGAACTTCTTGTATCCAGCAGGTCGATAATCTATTTTCATCGTTAAATTGACAAAATGTTGACACTTTTATTTATGAACAAATATGTAACAGCCTACGTTAGAAGTTCAGAACCTGTAGAATTACGATCAGCTTGAACCCCCCCATGAAAGAGACTGTAAAAGAATAGGAACAGAAAAAAATTTAATGACTTACTTTTTTTGTTCCCGGTTGAATTGAATATTGAACAAGCCACAATCGGTGGGTAACAAGCAATAGTGAACGAGACAGAAAGAAGCCAAGCCCAAACAAAATTTAAAAAGTGGATAAGCTACCCATTGGTGTACAATGCCTTACATTTCACTTTCATTATCTTCACTAGACAGATCTCTGGGCAAATTCCTCTTCAGCCTACGTGGAAGATTTAAATGGATAGAAGGGAAGATTTCGATTTCTCTTTTGGATTAGGCGGTTTGAATTATTTGCATGTTAGAACACCTTGAAGAACCCAAAAGTTCCAGTCCATTGGTCCAGATCTGGACATAGAACGCAAGTGTGTTCGTCCTTGGAACCAAATACTCAAACCCTGGGACTCCATCTTCGATAGGACAGTACACATAAGGAAAGTCCAGTCACTCGCTAACTCGGGAAAACCGGTTATCGACGTAGCTATGTAGAATCAAGTACTAGGTTGATGAAGGATGCTTTTAACGATACCTCGATCTTCCATGCCAAGGAATGCACCAGAAGAATACTACCGCAGCTCGAGGCGGGTTCAAAAGGAACTGATTAGTGACTGGATTTAATAACCAGTTCGCAATGAGTCACTTTCAATGTAATTGAACTTACTGACGAAACAGCCTCGACTGGCGAGCCACTAGTGACTAAAGTTGCTCATTTTCGGGTAATTTTCAAGATTGACCATCAGGTGAACATACTATTCGTGAGAGAAGTTGAAAAAATATCCTGTTATACCCTAACTACGCTCCCCGGATACTCGAAGAAGACGATACTGAAAATGCATGGCATGGAGTTGGGAAGACAAAATGCATGATCGCAAATTCTTCTTCCTATTCTTTCTCTTCTGTAGCGATGATAGTACAGTAATTTGACAGCTTCATCACTGAAATCATCACTCCCAACAAACAGGGATGATGTCCCTTCCGCGATTTCACTGAAGAAACTGCTGATTTTTCGATGTTTTTAGTGGCTTCGTGTGTGGATCCGCTTGAGTAATGATTTTGAGTAATTCCATGTGTAGACGACCTAAGACGTTGACAACGCGATGACACTGTTGTGTCGTGGGATGGCCGCTAAGGAATCCAAACTGATGGTCAGAAATATTTTCAGAATCTAGGATAGGTACGTTTTGTTTTAGGAGGAGTCGATCTAGGATTTTCCAAAAATGGATGTAAGCTAAGATAGATGTCTACAAGAAGTGGGTAGATGTGTTGGATTTTTGGGTTTCATACAGATACAGATCATACAGATGATGGAGTGTATCCAGAAGACAGAGTAGTAAGTTTTACGGAACACTTATTTGAAGAGGTAGGGATTGTAGACCTTGAGGAAATGTTTAAGGATGTAAGGTGTTATTAACTAACATTCTCAAAAAAACACAATATTTCCATCAAATCTGCCACGATTTTAGTAAGACCTGCATTTGGCCACTTCAGTGTCTTTGTGTTAGTTGTTAAATGTGTCCTTTTATAACTTTGTAAACGCACGACGAAACACCCCCTTAATAATTTTTTTTCATGAACTAGAATGGAGAAAGTGTAAATGTAAAATCGTTTATCAAGGGTCACAACAGACGAATTAACACACAGACCAACCGTTGAAGATGGTAGAAATCATCTCAGACAGAACCAGCTAGAATTAGGAAGTTTGTAGAAGACCAAGCTGTATCGCAGACCTCACCAGTTAGTTCCACGAAAAATTTCATTAATTAGATTCTAATTTGTTTCCTTATTTTTTTTAAGATCCTTGCAAAAGATCATCAGAAGTCACTATCATTCAAATCAACCAAGGTCATGAACCGCCTATTTTCACCGGGTTTTTCACTACTTGGGACAGTAAATTTTGGACGGTAGGTAAATTAAACGAAGATTTTCAAAAACCACCTTATTTATTATCAAATATGTATTTATCCAGACGAACAAAACCTTCGAAGATCTCAGGAGAGAACTGGACGAACAAAAACCGGCCCTCCACGTTGATCTCATTGTTGCGGAAAGCTTGCCGAATTTCTACGACTGTGACAAATACCCTGTTGAAGTTCTGTTAGAAAAAGACCCGGAAAAACTCCCACCGGGCGTGGACTTTCAACACAAAGAGGTTGTTCAATTTGATTATCAATTTAAAACGTCTCATTGGTGGAAAATTACAATTTTACAGATATACCTGAGCCCAGAAGATTTTTATTGTACATTCAACATGAAATATCAACAATTCACAGAGTTGCCAAAGTGGAAACAAGACTCCCACAAGAAAAACGTCGGCTTGTTTTAATAATTGTGTCGATAATGTAAATATCATATAAATATAAATATATTTTAATATAAATATTTTAAATTATATCTTATGATCTTGTCTACTTTTAATTAGGTCCTTCTGCAAATTTTTCAGTCCAATTCATCCTACAGACAATATTCTGAGCCATATATTGAACAATTTAATCCAGGACAATTAAAGATTCCTTTCAAATGTCGCACCATTACAAGAATTTTTCAATCGCGATAAATCTTTTGGCGTAATGAAATTGCCTGAAATTGGTAAAACTTGGCGAACTGGACCACGCGCCATGAAAGGACATGGAGGGATTGGCGGCGTCCTTACATCAAAAGTTGGTCGATCAATCGTCATATACCGAACTGCCAATTAAAATTATGGTCAGACAGTTTAACTAAAAAGAAAAAGAAAATTGGATGTCAAAGTGCTACTTCAAAGTGTTAGATATATCGACCAATTTTTTATTCACGAATAATCTGGATCTCGGTAAAAACAAATTCAATTGATTTCTGCCTTGCTTTCGACCTATTGTAAGGTCATCATCAGAGCAAAACAAACATAAAGAGCTTTACAAATTGACATAATTAAGATTTTTTATAGATGGTTTTTAATTCATTCGTGATCTGTACCCTCTGCCGCATAGGTCAGCGGGGACTCTGTAGTTCATCCTACAGGCTTCTAGTTTTCTGCATTCTAAAAGATGCTCAATGCTTAATTTTTCGGTATATAATGGGCATTGACGTGGTTTCTTTCCCGCCAGCAAGTGCCCATGAGTAAGCAAAGTATGACCTATCGTAACCTGGTAAGTATGGCTCTTTCCCTTCCCCGGCCTCCGTGTCTATCTCTAAATAAGATTGGATTGGATTTTGTATAAGCACAAATATGTGCCGAGTTGAGCCTATCGGCCTCTCGTATTACCCGGCGATTCCAGCTTTGGCTACTTACAGTAAATCGCGGGCAGTCTCGAGGATCACCCAACCCGTGTGTTGGTAGTCCAGGGTCAGACTTCAGTCTCATCCGTCCAACCACTAAGGTCGGGCTCCGCGGGGTGCTGTTAACAGCTAGGTCAATTCAGCACACAACGCGTGCAGGTCCAAACCCTTTCGTACTCACGTTCATTCTTAAATACATTCACTCCTATTTACATACTATTCATTCAAATGTGGTGATGGAGTACTCGTTATTCCTTCATCACCCTTTACAGATACTATACAACTAGCCTAATTGAGGGTTGATAGGGTTCTCGATATTCCGATATTCGACCCTCTCCTATCCCTTACATAGGTATGTTTACATCTGACAGTTATTGCTCGTTTGTTCGTTAATGTTGATTTTAAATACAATATTTTTTGATTTAGCGGTATTAACTTGGTTTCCAAATATCACAATACATTTCTAAATCTTCTATCATTTTTATAATACCAAAGGAGAGTCTGCCAGTAATACCACATACACATGTATAACTGTTTAATATAAAAAGTACTATGGTGTGTATCGTATCGCTTGTCACTTTGTTCCAGTGTTGCGCCGATAAAAGTCGTATCCAGCGATTACAGATCACTTTATGTTGCATCACTATCGCATCGCCCCAGTGGGCACCGCGCTGAGTCGCGCCGATCTATCGCCTGGAGCGATTGACAAGCTGTGTCGTTCCAACAGATACGCCATCAATAATGATCGGCGTTGCATCGCAATCGCGCTGGTGTGCAGTGGTTTAGTTGCTTAGACAAGGAATAGACGTTGTAGGCGGGCGATATGATGTCGAATTGCACATCGCATCACTTGTCTTATCGCGTAATGCATCGTTCCAGTCGACACCGCGCCCGTTGCGGCCACCGACGTCCCCTTTTATATTACTGTCATTATTTTAATGAATATTTCTTATAAATTTATAAATGTATATTTTCAAATATATTATTTTATTGTGAATTTTAGTTCACCTTGTAACTTGTTGCTTTTCTATGATTTGTACTTAAAAAACGTAAAAAATCTTTCCTCTGTATTTAATGATCTGTTTTCTTCCCGTTCAACTAGGATCTTTAAAAAAGAAACAGACGTTGCAAAAAGCGCCAGTAAAACGTGACAATATTCACGATTTAGTTCCCATAGAAAATTATATTTTTGGGTGGGAACTAGCTTTACAAACCGATCATCATAATCGACTCTGTTTCAAACATTTTTTAAAAACAGTTTTCCATTTTGTTTTGCTAATGGAATTAGTACTCCATCAAAGAATTTATTCGTCCGAGGCGAATTAATAAAGAAATTAAAACAAAAGAAAATATGAGAGAATATATTATCAGGAAAAATCTGTCAATTGAAAGAAATCGAGCCAGCACAAGTGTGAGTATTGTAACCTGCCAAGCCGAAAATCTTTCCTTTCCTCGCCTGACACGCGTGCCGTGGTGGCCAGAAGCCGTTTTTTCGAATTTCGCCGAGTAGTTTTGATTTAAAAGTGGGACAAAAACGGGGGCCATGGGATCGCCGCCGGGGAGCAACGTCCCGATTTCGGATAAGAGGAAATTCGTCGCCCAGGGGGTCCTGAAGGCGGAGTTGAACGAGTTCCTGACCCGGGAGCTCGCCGAGGAAGGTTACTCGGGGATTGAAATGAGGATGACACCGGCCCGGACGGAAATCATCATCATGGCGACGAGCACGCAGAACGTCCTGGGCGAAAAGGGAAAAAGGATCAGGGCTTTAACGTCAGTCATACAGAAGAGGTTCCAGTTCGCCGAAGGGAAGCTGGACCTGTATACTGAAAAGGTCGCCACACGTGGTCTGTGCGCCATCGCACAAGCAGAATCCCTCAGGTACTATAGTTCTATCCATCTATGAAAACCGTAATATAACATTCCATTGAGTTCTATTATTCAATTACATATCTCTCTCTTTCCTTAAAGCGTACACACTAAGCAAATCTCGGTGAAAGACAACCAACCGCTTCGTTGGCTGTGATTTGCTTAGTGCGTACAGAAGGCGAATCAGAACCAACAAAGCGGTTGGCCTTGGTCAAGGTTGTTTTCTGGCGGTAACATCAAAAGGACTGTGATTCCACAAGGCCAAATCCCTTGGCCACCAACCCCTTCGTTTGATGAGGATGAGCCAAGGATGGCGAATGTGTTACATTGACCGAGGTTTGCTTATTGAGTAAGCTCCTTTAACGGGTGCATTTCATTTCGACCCATGCGCTCCCTGTGTCTCACACCTCGTTTCAACATGTCAGACAAGTAAAGCAACACACTCCAAATGAGAAGGTATAGTAAACCCACTCAGGCGTTATTGTGCACTTGCGGAACCTCGAGCATCATCAGCTGAAGGCCCCCTCCTGACAATGGAAGGACTTGGTAGCTCTCTTCTGTTCAAGAGGCTGAAAGAAACAGACGTTTGTGGCACATCCAGATCAAACAGGATGTTTTTTATATGTACCATTACGGCGGTGAGCTTTTCCTTCTTTTATGTCATTATTTTTCAAGTATATGTTTTTTTCAATAAATCTTTCTTTTTTTTGTGCTGAAGTGTGTGAATAGATCCAATTTTAGGTAGTCTCTTCCCATATCTGTCTTTTCCAGTTGGTTGTTTGATTTCCATGAACTAATGTGCCTAAAATAACAAACTTATTTTGATTGAATTGGGTTTGGGGACATGATAAGTTTGAAGTTGAAATATGAAAATGATGCTTAAATGAGTTATACCTACCTTCTATAAGTATAAGTTACTACATGGAAAAAAGTTCCAATCATGCACTATGAAATAATAATTAGCTAATGTGAATCTCTATATCATGATAGATTGACATATACTGGTACTGTTATTCGGTCAAAACAGAAACTCCTTTAAAAAACTACCTGGGTTGAAACAGATAGAACTTTTTGGTCGAAACAGATTGTTATATCAGGCTCATTGGTCGAAGTATGATACCCTCCTTAATATTCAAAAATCAGGACTAAAATATTATCCTTACTTTCAAAAAAAAATTGAAAACATTTGTTTAAAAGAATATTGTTCTTTTATAAATTGTTCAAGTTATTCAATACCATTGTCGGCCAAGTTAGTTTGTGCTACGTTCTCAGGGCTTTGATTGTTTTTTCAGTTCCATGAAAATGGATGTTCACCTTTGTCTACAAATGGGCGGGTTCGTATCTTAAGGATGGAGGGTGCTTTTGATCAAAGGTTAGTGGTTTTACACGAATAACATCTTGCGTATTTGTCTTCAGTGCAATTTTGAATGTTTTTGTTTTTTTTACACCAAAAGAGAGAATAAATAAAAAGTAATCCCATCCTATGACAACTTCCAAGGCTTCAAGGGACTTGAGCATGTTTTTAAGTTTTTGGGGTGCTCAAAAGAGAAATGTGTACAGTCGACCCTTATTAATCTGAAACCCATGAGACCATAAAAATAAATTGAATTATCAAGAAGAAAGAAAAAAATATTTATGAACAGTTAATATACATTTTTAAAAATGACTACTTAAATTATGCATATATACAACATTGCAAAAAATATCGAACAATTGGAAATAGATCAACTATAAAATTGAACAGTTATGCATTATTTTAAAAAAATCATGATGTGGTTTTTGTTCATTGCAGTGTGGTGTCCTTTGTCTAAACGATTTTCCAAAGTAATCAGTGCTGAGACGCATTGACAAAATGCTGACCACCGAGTGTAACAAACTAGAGAAAATTTAAAACAAAGAAAGTAAACTATATGTTGCAATTTAGAGGAACATTATAAGAAAAAAGTTTAAATTATAAAAATGGGAAATGGCTCCATTTTAATTTATATATTATAGAATGCTTTCTCTCGCTCTCTTTCTTTCCCCCTGTTAAAAAATTGCTTATTACTGAGTGTGTCAAACTACACAGAATTTTTTTGATTTACCAAAGTGACCTGTTGAGAAGTTGGTTTACCAAAAAATTCAAACGATCAAATTTTGAATTAACAGGAGCCTACAGTGTATACAAAAAAAAATTCTTTTTTTATATTGAATTTAAATAAAAAAATTTAATTCAAATCAAATACTTCTCATTTGATAAAAGACTTTTCTAGGTTTTTTTTAAACAATTCGAGTTTTTATGTTAATTAACAGTATAAATAATTTTTTACTTGATAAACTGGTTAGATCTTTGAGTTTGTTTGCTTTGTTGTTGACATTTGTAACAATAGCGCACCTTTAGTCTGGCTAAAGTGTTATATGTATCAATCCCTTCTTTATTCACAAATAATCAGGATCTCTGTTAGCTCTGAATGAAAAAACAAATTCAAATGATAAACTTGTGAAAAGTGGTCACATTGACAAGAATGAAAGCATAAGATTCAAAATCCACTACTCAATTTCCCCTAACATGTATGCGCTACATAAAGTATAATAAAAAAAGGCTTATTCTCTATGTCTGATCATATATGTTGCGGTTTACCTGGAAGATGAATCTCCGGGGAAGTGCAGAAGTATAGGTAATGAGCTCATACACATTATGGTAAACCAAAACTTGATTGCTCATGAGATAAGGTGATTGCAGTGTTCGGTTTATTATATTCTTACACAGACATACCTTAATTATTTATAAAAAATTATAATTTTCTTCATGGTTGAAATAAAAACAGATACACCATTCTACAACATGTCGAAATGGATTAAGACCATATGTCAGGCTTTGCATGAGGACAAATACAATGTCAAGAATTCATTTGAGTTCATAGAAAAGATAAATAATATTAATGAAAAATGACAAAAAAAAAAAAGGGAAAATTTGAAAGGTTGCAGGCTGAGATGGCGAGTTGGTGTCTGAGTAGATCGAAGTCATGATAGCGCAAGTGGTAAGAGCAGCGGCGTATTGAGCCAAAGGTCGTGGGTTCAAATCCCACTCATGACACCAACTTTTTCATTTCAACCAAGACCTTACATAAAAAGAATAATTATTTAAAAGAAGTAATTTGGTCAATAGACCACTCAACATAATGGAAATAATATTAATGTAGATAAAGAGGATCTTTTGGTTTCTCTGATATCAAATCCTATTTACTTCGATTCCCCTGAATATAATATTATACCTCATATAACAATGCTGGCAAAACGGCATGATTTTATTAATGTGACGCTTAATCTTTTCATTGATTTAGTGGTTTTCTCTGAATGATTGGATATTTTAAATACGATAGCAAAATACATTGGTAAAATCTTGTTAAATCGTGTAAAACCAATACATTTCAGTCCACTTGGCAACATATTTTTTTCTGCCTTAAAGGTTGACGAATCATCAACCTAATTGATATTTTAGCAAAAATCCCGGTTAAACGTATGAATAGAGTAGTATGGGTTTCCTTACAAGGATGGATGGAGCTACATGTCACATAGACCACAATGTGACCAGTGGTTGGTATTTCCGGGATTTTGTTTGTCACACCCAGTGCCACTGACACAAGGTCAACCACATTTTTTTCTGCAATGAATATCGCCTACAAAGCATGGAAAAAAGTAATTGCAACCGTGATTTAAAAAATTGGTTCAGAACTGGTGATTTCCTAAAGGAGGATAGCCATGGAACAAGAAAATTAAATCCATGTCAGATGGCATCTTGCATCACAACGTTCTTTTCATACATATATATGTGCATTAAAAAAATTAAAACTTTCAATATAAGTATTTTTAATTTTTTACCCTTGATATACCATAATTCTCCATATAGTGAAAATAGCGATATATCATGCTTATCCTTTGTTCAATTGAAGATATATATTGGGATTTACAGTATGTAGGTTGATGATGTGGGAGGTGTTTTGTCCCCATTTTTGCAGATATGCTAAAGAATGATTTGATGATTGGGTTTTAAATCAGGTCATTTACATAACCATATTGGCAAATATGTCTATTTGTTTCTGATCCAAAAGCTAATTTAAACATTCTCCTCGACCTTAAATATTTACCATGGGAATATACAATTCACCTGTGAAGTGAAAACAGTGGTTCTATTCCTAATCTAGAAAGTGTGAGGTCTGAGGGCACATTGATGCATAGGAAGTATACAAAATGAATTAGTTCAGACCGATACATGCTTCTGGAGTGAAGTTACAGAGCAAGCGTTCCAAATAAGTTAAATAACAATTGAATTTGTTTTTTCATTCAGATCATACTGAGATCAAATTATTTGAGTTTAATCTGACTTACTTTATTTATTTTGTGTAGTTTTGGTTTTGTTTTCCTATCAATTTCTTTACCTATCTTTTTTGTTTTTCTTTCAGAGAAAATGGATTGAATAATACCTGTTTTATTTGGTAATTAGGCACGAAGTTTAATATTGGCAATCGTGAAATTTAACTTAATTACAAATAACTAAAATCATGTGTTGTTATCCATTTTTTGTGGCCTTTATATCTGTGACAATTGCTCAGAGGAACCATTAAACACTTGATTTAGTTTTGAATAAATAATCGGAATCATACTTTTTTCATTAATTAAATACACATATTGAATTATTTTTATTAATTGTTGGGTTTTTAAAACAACGTTTTTTATATTTAGGTGCACATTTACATCACTATATAAACACAAAGAAAAACCAACAAATTAGTGAATGAAAATGAAAATATTCAATACTTAACATTTTCACAACACACGTTCTCACTTTACCACTCACTTAGTGTTACATTCAAAGTAGTACTTTAAAAAACACCTTAGGAAAAACAACACCATCTACTTAGATGGACTCTGGTGCAATTTTGTAATTAAAACTTATTTATTGGTAAATATTGAAAGCATTTAATTACAACTTTTCCGTGTAAAAGTGTGGTAATAAATGTATTCCATCAAACAAAAAAAATCAATGTAAATAAATAAATAACACTATCAATTGTAAAAATAAGACTATACCCTTTTTTGATTTCACCCTTCTTTCATATCTTTTGGTGCAATATTTTTAGTCAGACATTATTATTTACACACTCTGAAAAGGGATTAGTTAAGATGTTTTTATTTGTCAGTTTTGTTTGAGAACTGCACTACAGTTACAAGTTCTTTTGCTATTTTACATTGGAGGGAAAAACATGTTTACAGAGTAATGGTTACGTGTCCGATATTTTGAAGTATAGAATCAGCAAAAAATGATTGGTCCAATCCATGACACATCAACCTGGTCGTCCCCTTGTGAGACCAAAATCAACATAAAATATGCATAACAAACTAACCACTTACGAAACACTCATCATACAGAGTCAAACTGTCGGGCTCTGCCAAATCTTCCAACATCCAATGGCTCAAATTCTATCAGTTCTTTTGATAATGTCCATCCAAATTTGGTGGAACTCCATAATAAGTTGATTGGTAAGATATCTATTGTCTTTTCCACAATAAGCAATTATTTCATCAGACGCGTTTTGGTCTAATATAGGCCAAATTCATTGACTTTTTTTTTAAATGATGTGGTTTGACAGTTTATTATGAGTTGTAAGTTTAAAAGTGGATACCTGAACTTATGACGTATGAACTGACTATGGACGTAGCAAGTAATCTGTCAAGAAATTTTTTTATATCAAAAATTTAAATATATTTTATATTTTTTTATATAAAAAAATATAATTTGTTATACAAAACTTCTTTTTTCTTGACCGACTACTCACCAAGTCCATAGTCTTCTAGATATCCACTTTTGAACTTACAACTATGTAACAAACCATCAAACCACTTTATTTTTTAAAAAGTCACTGAAGATGGTCTATATTAGACCGAAACTAGCCTGACAAAATAAAGGCCTGTTGTGAAAGATGTTTTATTACTTACCAATCAACTGGAGGATCTGATCCAAACATGACACTTCTACTTCTACTCTAAACTATCCCTCCAACTTGACCCACTAGCATAAACTCTTCCTTGGATGTCATACCCACAGTTTTCAACCTATTTATAATATTTAAAAAAAATCAAACGACTTTTCCACTCTTTAAACTTAACAAATTTCCCATTGAAAAGTTTCAAGGTTTAAATTTGTTTGCACCAAAAATAATAAATAAATAAATAAACTGCAAATTTTCTGTTGTTTTACAATATTACCTACTGAGACTTAGCATATCTCAAAAATGATATTTAAAAAAAGATAATTTGTTATGTGTGGTGATTAGTGTCCGTTAATCGATAATTATTCAGAAATCGTGAGTTGCAGTCTGGTCCAGATTTCTGAATAATAATTTGTTATACCAAACTTTTTTTTCAAATACTGCCTGTTTATATGCCAATTTAATTAATGGTTTATTGTAATACTGCATGCTGTGTGGATAAGCCACGCAACTATATTACATTTTTTCTTCAAATGTTTGTTTAGATAGAACTAAACAACTGAATATTTGAAAAAAGTGAATGAATCTTTTATTGCGATACTTTTGGAACAGCTTACTGGTGTGGTACATGTAATTCTATCAGCATCCATTTTTCAAAATAATGAAAACTTTTTGGTGGTTAATAGTTATTTACAAATCTGCGATTTTCATTTCCAGGTACAAACTAATTGGAGGCTTAGCCGTGAGAAGGGCATGCTATGGAGTCCTCAGATTTATAATGGAGAACGGGGCCAAGGGCTGTGAAATAGTCGTTTCTGGAAAACTCCGAGGGCAAAGGGCCAAGTCGATGAAATTTGTCGACGGCCTCATGATCCACAGTGGCGACCCTTGCAACGAATATGTCGACTCTGCCACAAGACATGTCCTATTAAGGCAAGGCGTGCTTGGAATCAAAGTGAAAATTATGCTCCCATGGGACACCCTTGGGAAAATCGGGCTTAAGAAACCTCTTCCTGATAACGTTTGTGTATGTGATCCAAAAGAAGAAACTGTCATATCTGGGCCGGTTTCTGACATCAAGGATCCTCTCATACCAGCTGTTGCTTAAGAAACACTTTCTCTTCTTTTTCTTGTCTTTTTGTAAAAACAATATTTAAACTTAAAAAAAAAAAATACAAAATATTTTAAAATACAAGCTTTAATAAATAATCCTGAATCATGTTTTTAATATAAGATGTCAATTTGGATGAATAACTGAGTATCCAAAGAAACTATTTTGGTTCAAATATTTTATTGTCCTAAAATAAATATTTTTGAAATGAAACTTAGTGTTTTGTTTTGTTCTTCTCGTAAGTTGTATCAGATCATCCAGATATTCTTGCTGGTTTTATCAGTTCACTCTAGTTAGTAGGTCTGAGTGTCCGTACCACTCTGTATTATTTGTTCTGACAACAAAAAATTGTGCATCACTTGACTTGAAAAAGGGACACACCAATGACAATTTAACACTCAGACTAACCACCAAACATGGCAAAATGACAAGACCAGCATGAATACCCGATCAATGTAAAGTTCTCCATCAACATTTCACAATTTGAAGGAAAGAAAGTAACACTAAAATTATAATTGTTTAGATAAATTTATTATAATTTTAATTTACACCGTTTTCATGTACCACATTAAGGGAACAAGTTTAAAAAAAAAAATTTAAAAAGTGAGCATTCAATTCACTTTCAAACTAATCAAAATAAGGTTTATGGAATGCTTTATTTTCTAATAGTTGGTCTCGTAATGCAATAAATTCATTTTTAACGGTAATATTGTTTGGTTCTAAAATAACAATGCTTTGCAAATCTCTGCAGGCACCTTCCAAATTGTTAAGTGCTTTTCTTGCACTCGCCCTTCGTATATACGCTTTGACATATTTGTAGTCCAATTTAATTGCCTCTGAGCAGTCCGCTTCAGATGCTTTGAAATTTTCCATTTTAATAAAGCAGACTGCCCTGTTAGCGAAAAAAATCGGGTCCTGGTTATAAAGTTTAATCGCTTTTGTGTAAGGCTCTATTGCTTCTTCGTATTTCCTCTGGTTGACAAGTTCATTGCCAATTTTTTTATATTCTTCTGCAGCTAGTTTAATATTTTCATGTTTGCTAAGCTCTTCTTCGTTTTCTTTCATTTTGCATTCAGGTCCGTCAAACTCTTCGTCAGAACTGTCGTAGCCGTGCAAGTCAGAAAAGTTATCTTCATAATAGTCTAAATCAGATTCTTTATGGGGTGATATATCACTAAATGTTATTTCATCTTTAGTTTCCTTTTCGTTATTATCGGTGAAGCTCATAAATGTACTGGAACTGTTACATTCATGAAAATTTATCATTTCATTTTCTTTCATTTTAAACTGCTGTTCTAAATATGGGAAATCCATTTTCTTCCAGCTGTTTTGTCTTTCGCTTTCAATATCCTGTATAAAATTATGATGGTTACAAAAAAAAAAAAAAAAAAAAAAAAAAACTATATAATGGATGAATATCTAACTTACATAAATAGTTGAAAGGTCGAAAGTAATTTCCACTCCAAGTGATTATAATGCTAGACAATAAAAAATATATAAAAAAGTAAATCAATTAACACAACATTCACTTTAGTTAAAAGATTTCATATAATGAAAACAGCAAAAAGGTTGTACAAATTAAAATAATTCTTTGCTATGTACAAAAATCATTAATAACATTTAATTTGTCAATTGTCAGCATTGTCATCTATTATTCTTGCTGTTTTGATAATACATTGGGATGATCATTCATATTGCTGATCTATGCTTAACAGATGAGTTGTCTCACAGGTCTCAACATTATAAAATAGTTTAAAGAACCAAAAACGTAATGGTGTGACCTTACATAATAGGCAACAATGACATGACAAAATGTTTAATGGGATTGTGACTTGTGTACTGTTTGTGAACACCGCTATTGACTGGACAATTCATTAATTAATAAGTTAGTACTACGATAGTTTACGACAACAGAAATTGTCCAGTAAAAAAGTTTCAGTTAACACTGGGGCTTTTTAGTATTATTGGATGTTTTTTATAATTTATTTTATTGTTTTTAATCATCCAGATTTCAAAACAAGGGGCGTCAGTGGCCGCAAGGTTTAGTCTTTGACACGGCGCTCATCACTGTAAGGTAAAGGTCCTGGGCTCGAATCCAGCGGCCCTGCATTCGAACCCGACATACTTACAAATGAGCTTTTTTTTCAAAAACACCGGCACCCTGAGGGTTTATATGACCTCTGCTACTGCGAACCCTCGTAAAAAAAAAAATTCATAACAGACAGTCAGTGTTTTGTTTTTAATTCAATAATAAACAAACCAGGTTTTCATATACATTAGATTATGAAGGAGCTGGCCTCTTTACGACCTGCATACCACGACCAGTATTGGTCTATTGTGCTTTTTTTCTTTTTAATCTAGAGCTCCTCGTTAGCCTTACGGCATTTTACCAGACCCAAAAGCTTTCTCAAGTGTATCCTTCAGGCCTTGGCTTTTCCTCTCCCAGGATTAGGAATCTCAGCCTATATAGTCCTTTGCACCAACATGCTAGAAATGATGAATGATGGAGTGAGTATGGTTTTCACCCCTTTTTTTTAAGTTAGTTAGTAACTAATAGTAACTTACTGTGAGTAGGAACTCATGCTATGCTGTTTCTTCTTAGCAATATCAGCACAGGCTTATTTCTGTTACTCTAAGCCTATACATATGTGTCCAAAATATGCAGTGTATAGTCAGCAGTCCAACTATTATTCTAGTCCTAGCTTATCCTAGATTTAGTGCTACTGTCAGTTTCTGGAATAGTCCTTTGAAACTTTTTTTACACGCCTCTGTCCTGGACTACATACCCATTGGACAGAGGACTTATTATTAATCTATTTTCTAATGGATCTGTGTTTTTGGATGTTTGGTAAGCCACAAAAGGGTTTAAGGACAATAGGTGTCATCAAACTTTCATTCGCCAATTTATCAGCGTCTTCCTTGCCCCTCTGCCCTGTGTGCCCCGACACCCAGACAAGGGTAATTTTGTTATTTTCCCCAATATCTGACAGGGCTCTAATGCAATTCTAAACGACTCCAGACTTTACCGCCCATGCAGCAATTGCCTTCAGTGCCGGCTGTCAGAGAAGATGGCTATTCTTGACCCCGACCTTTTTATCTCTCTAGCAGTTTTCGCTTGAAAGCCAATATTGTCCAAGTCTCGCATGAATTTTAGCCTTTGGTTTATTTCCACAAATGCCAGCTCCTGACCCGTATTCGGTTTTGGAGCCATCTGTAAAATTAACTAGGACCCCTTTCTCCCAGTCTGCTTTACAAGGTATTTTTTTTTATTGCGTATTTAGCCGAAGGTCGTGGGTTCGAATCCCGCTCGTGTCTGACTTTTTTATCTCAACAAATACCTTCCATAATTATTAATTAATTGAAAAATGTCAATTGGTCAATCGGACCACGAACTGCAATGGATTCTATAAAGTATATTGATTAGGTTTTAGTCTAGCACATGCTTTTCATATTCTTATTATGTGTGTTATGAAGATGTGTTTAAGACTGACCGTTTCTACAATAATTTTAATTGAAAAGAAACAAAAGACATAATGTTATTAAACATTAAATTTTCTTTAATATTTTCAGGAATGATAGAAAACAGCCACTAGTGGCAAAGAAACAATTACCTCCTTAATCCTTTTACAGAATATGCTAACCAAGTCGCAAAGGACAAAGTAATCAAACTCTCTTACTTTGTGCCAACGTCCAAATATTATTTTTACAACTTTTTGCTAAGGATAATTTGAACTATTTTTGTTGTATCCACTTCGGCGGTACATACTATATATACTAAAATTAACTATTTTTGACGATATCAAATATCGTTGCGATGCTATCGACTGGCGTTCGACCTGGTTACGTCCAATTGGTCGCACCATCCAACAGAGTTTTGGTGAGTTGGTCATCGATCTTTGTAGATTGTGGTTAAATTTATAAAAAGTAAAGGACAATTATATTGATGGTTTATTCAATTACGACTTATACTATTATATACTATTAAAACTAGGTAGATGCTGCTTTTCTTTGATCTCGTCGACATGATTGTACTAATTAGTAAACGCTCTCTCATAAAATGGTTTCATTCTTTTCTAACTGGTAGAAGCCAAGCTGTTATCACCCTAATCTTCAAAAATATTTTGTCCACTTCGAAGTTCCCCAAGGCCCATTTTTCAGTCCTTTCTTGTTTAAACATGTCATAAATGATGTTTCCTCTTTTCCTACATATTCATTTTGGCATCTAAATTTCCATATTACTACTTGTGACACCAGATAGCATCTTACATTTTTGGCATAAAGGAATATTTAAAATTATAAACAAAACTGACAAATATATATAGTTTATTTGATGTAATAGTACATTCAAAAAATATTAAAGTGTAAAAAACCATGATTAACTTGAAGCAATCTTACATCAAAACAGCATAAACACAATGCTACTCGATTATACTCCATTCTGTTATTATTTATATAAATAATTTGCTGGATTGGTAAAGAGCTGTCAAGAATGAGGTTGTTTAGAAAACCACCTTTTTCATATTTTTGCCAATGTTTCAAACTTTCTTGTGGTCATTTTCAGGAGTATAAAATGTGGTGTTATTCTTGTGGTATCATATTGGTGTTGTATTATATTACATATTTAATAGCACGACAATTTCAAACAATGACACCATAGAATAGCACCATACTCTGTCCTGAAGATGACCCGAATAAAGGTCAAAACATCAGCAAAAAATGAAAAAGGTGTTTTTATAAACTACCTAATTCTTGACTACTCCTAACGAATCCAATAAATTATTAAACAACTAATTACTAAAAAGAAACCACGCATTTATATAAATCTTCAAGTCCATAGATGATTGTTTTCTTTACAAAATTCTCTAATCAATCTTGAACACTGGAGGCAAAATTAAAATGGCCTAAACTTAAAGAAATATAAAACTCATTACATTCTACCACTATATAAAGTTTGGTTTAAGTCTATAATTTATTTTGGAGTTAACATTGATAGGTGAGGCTCAGGAAAAGATCTTGAAATTCTGTTCAACAATAATAAGAAATAATCCATATTTGTTTAGTGGTTTAATTTACCATATTAATTATTCTTTTTATTCATGTCATTTTGCACCTCAAACAAAAACCTTAGATAAAAAGAATAATTATTTTGAATAATTTGAATTTTAAGAATTGTGTTAAATCTATAGTATGCAAATCCAACCAATTTTTCAGATTTTTAAATCTATCAACTGCACATTTCAATGGGTTTTATTCCCTATTTCTTCTATATAAAGTCCTCGTATGCCCATTTCTTGAATGCAGTACTGTTATTTGTATCTATACATGAAGAAGCTTACTATCGCTTTGAAGGCTATCCAGATACTTTTTAGGGAGACTGGAATATTGCCTGATACTCCCTAATTCTTATTGAACTGAATGAACTTGAAACTATTTGTATTTGTAAGACTGAACAATTGTTGATTAGATCCTCTCTGTCTTCAAATTGTTAATAATTGATATAATTGACTGTCCAGATCTTCCATCTAGTCTAAATTTCCATATTCCTTCTTGTAGCACAAGACAACATCTCACATTTGTGGCATAAAGGAATATTGAAAAATATACACAAAACTGACAAATATATATAATTTATTAGATGTAATAATACATTCATAAAATATTAAAGTGTAAAAAAGCATGATTAACATGAAGCAATCTTACTTAAAAACAGCATAAACACTATGTTACTCGATTACACTCCAATATGTTATTATTTATATAAATATTCATTTCATATTTAAGTAGAAACCATCACATTTCTTTTAAATTACAAACAACAACCAATTTTATAACAACAGTATGTAAAATATAATATGCAGTTAAAACAAACATCTTGGTAACAAAAAAAAACTGGCTCCATTCGACAGCCAAATACTTGTTTTTACATTTATCAGATTAAAATTCAGGTTTGAAATAACGGAAAAATTTAAAAAAGCATAACTTTTTAACAATACACTGTAAATTACTACCAAAGGCACATATTTCGTGGGAATTGTATAATGAACAACACATTCTATCAGTCTTGGCTAAAATTATAGATTTAAAATTTTGCAGGTGTTTTATAACACAAATTTTGTATGTATTTCCCAGGTTTACTTGGGCGATACTTTATTATTTCATAAATTCCCTGGAATGTGTAAGATACTTAAATAGTTTAAATAATTATTATTGTTAACATATTTGGATAAAATAATTAAATTCAAGCAATATTTTTTCTCACAATTCGATTCTTCCAATTTCTTTTATGATGCTTTCAATGTACTACAATTTTCTCAAAAGAAAATAATCAGTAATTGTAGTAAAAGCATAACTTCAAAAACTTAAAATATCGGTATAAACTTCACTATAACTCACACTACACGCCTATATGATAAGAGGGGAATCAGACTTTTCTGAAATACTACCAAAAACAATAAAAGAGAAAAATATCGGATTTATCACAAGGCGACCTTTTCTCGAAAACTTTCCGCCAACTTATTTTAGATGTTAAAGAGGGGATTGTTTTGTGTCTATTGTCTATAATAAAAATAATGGGAGTGATTTTATTGCTTTCGCCCTCACATCAGCATTTTGATCATCTTTCATGACCTGTATCAGTCTTGCTATGGCTGGTTCTGGTGATATTATTGCTTTCACATTGTTTGACATATTTTTGTAGAGTAAACCTGTAAAATAATTATGAGTATGTACGCAAACATGTATTCTACTATTGCCAAATTAAAACACTCTGTCTTCCAATGTTAGTTATTTTTTTAATAAAATTATTTTTTATTAATACAATTTTAAGTACTTATTAATTAGCTCCTAAACTAATCCAAGCTCTGATGCTCAATTTCTTTCCAACCCTTAACCTACCCTATTGTTAAATGGAAAGATTAAAAATAAAACCCTTTTTATAAACAATGTTGTTAAACCAAAATAACTAAACTATCCAATAATAATAAGTAACCAAAATATCTAACTTACATTCTTTCATATTTGCATACCATTCATTCAGTGACATACTCGATATCCTCCATCACCCTTTACATCTAATATAGAACTAATGTAATTGAGGGTCAATATGGTACTCAATATTCTGCCATTAGCCCTCTCACATTACACATTCGAGCTAATAAATACATTCACTCTAAACACACGCCAGGAACTATTAATACTATATATGACATTTTTAACCAAACTCGGCATAACCAAAACCCAGGTTCACTGAAACGATTTCAGGAAAAAATTGTGTGAGAATGGTGTGTTATTGCAAAATTTAGCCATTAATTATGGTGTTTTGATATAAACAATGGGTAAAATCTAAACTTCATGAATACAGTTGTAAAGTACAGAACCGCAAGATGATGAAGCTAGCTAATCATGAAAAAATTAATGAAGCTCTTTTTTCTGGTTTACGTTTTGACTACAATATATTGTACTTTATATTTGTATGTAAAATACATGGATTGTTCGGTTTTAATTGGAAATTATGTGTTTTACAACTTTTACCGCATGCCAACAGCCTCCATGGATTATCTAAAAACCCTTTCGGGCAGAGTCAACTGTACGTTTACTGAACAATAACACAAAACTGAAGTAGCATTCCTATACACTCTCTATATGGGCCAAAAAATTACACCCTTCAATTAAGTGGGACAAATTGAGCAAACTTTCTTCCTCTTCTTTGAGTAAACCTCCTTAATATGGTAAGAATGACCATTCTTCTACGAGTCCCTCGAGGGTCACCCATCAACAGTGCTCTTGATACGTGAACGCTTCTCTGCTGATCCAGCCCAATGACACACCCATTTTCTTTTGAGTTTTTAGCAACAGCGGGCTGGATCGTGATGCTTAAAAGTCGAGAGGTTGGGACATCCCAACCTTAGCTATCTCGTTTGCCTTTTTGTTACCCTCCAGAACCCTGGATACCCAGACAAAAACATTGTTTTGCCAAGATGCTCCAGTTCATGGTATTTCTGCACCAAGATCACGATAAGAGGGTCGTCAAAGGACTCGGATAGCAGTAACTACAGTAAGGAAGCCGGTGCAGGCAAGATAAGCAGAGCCACCTTCAACTCAAATTACCTCAAGCACATGTCAAATCGCATATAATTCCACCGTATAAACACTACAGTGCAGCGACGAGTTTTTAAATTTAATTATATTATTTATTACTTTTAACTTACCAGTTTAAAATCTTGATAATAATAAAAATATATACTAATTAAGTGTTCCATCACCAATATTTGCTGAAATATTAAAATAAGACTATTTTATTTACCCAAAAGTAATGCTGCATTTGCTCTTATGGTAGGCCATTTACTTTTTGTAAATGAAAGTGAAACTGAAAACATAGTAGAACCAACCTCCTCCATCTCACACGACTTAAAATTGAAATAAAAGTTAATTTAAAAAAACAGGTAAACAATGAAGCAGTAGAAAAAGCTTACCATTGACTGTACCAGTTTGGCCGCAAACGGTTCAAACTGTAGCACGGCATCGTCTATTAAATGGTTCAGCAACAAATTCTTAACCTTCTCAGAGTTGAGTAAATGTGCAATTTGACGCAAGGAAAATTTACAGGCCTGAAATTTTTTTAAAATTTGTATACAATAATTGCAGCATATTTTAATACTGACTTTGACGACTGAAGGTTCGAGCTCGGAAACATGCAGGAGAAGGTGTGTAAAACATGACAGCGCTTGATCTTTGTAACCATCTTGTGAATATTCTTCACCTTGAATACAAAGCTGTCCAAAAAGTTTTAATGAAGTACTCCTTAGGCCTAGTTCTTCCTGGAATACAGTAATTATTGTACAATAAACTCAATATAACAAATAAAATGGCTCTTATGATTACTTTTTCAAAAAAAGGCTTTATCCTAATAGCTACTGGAACTTGGATCTTAATTAAAGCCGATGAGTCTAAAACTGGAATGAGTTTGCTTAGACTTTGAATTGCTTCCAATGGAATTCTGATGTGTACTGATCCATCAATATCATCGACACCCTGCATCAAAGCAGACAAAACTGCGTCTTCGTGCCTTTTCCTCTAAGGACAAAAAAACGCATACATTTTTAATCTTAATATAATTGATTCAAGTAATATTTTACCAAATGTTCATTTAGAGATGAAATATAACCCAAACCCTTTAAAGCAAGAGCACGGACTATTTGATCTGGGGCAGTTATAGCAGATAAGAGGTTTGAAATGAGATTATCTATTAAATCGACGGAACCACCTAATGAGCACTGCACTGAAAAACACTAATAGAAAAACAGTATATCAATAACAACTGCAAGTTTAAAAAAAAAAAAAAAAAAAAAAAACAACAATTATACCAACCTCTGCATAGAAAGCTGTAATTATTATCCTCTGATTTTCACATGAAGTTGTAGAATACTGATTAAACGTCATCAACAATTTAGGTAGAAGATGATGGAAGTTTTGGCAAATGCCCCTGTATGAAAATTACAATTTAGAATGAATTTATTTTTGCTCAATAATTAGAAATTTCCCTACAGTGTAAATTGTGGCATGCAGCCGACGAGGGATTCAATGTGCTGAAGCTGTGATGTAGTCGTCAACGACTCGGCACCCGTTTTACAATCGACTTCCAATAGGATTCTTTGTAAGCAATCTTTTACAACCCTTAAAAAAATGAAATTTCAGTTGAAAATGTCTGGATTTAACTTAAACAAAAATTTACTTTGAGGGAACAATTTTGTAAGCATCCCTATTCGTTATGATTTGAATTGATTTGGTCGGACTTGGCGATAAAACCGGTGGAGCCGAACCAATAAATGCAGCTAGGAGCGTCAATAAGGCTGGTATCAAAACCGAAATATTTTCTGATAAAATTGATTTTATAAAAGTGCTAGCCACCATCTCACTCAATCCACTTACAGCCTAAAAGGTATTATTTTTTCAAAATTTGGCACATTATAAAAGGAAAATTTATAAAAAAAAAAAAATTAAATACAGCTAATGGATGAAAAGCAGCTGTTTTAGGGCGGTTATTCTGTTTGGAATCATCATCAAACAGTTCACATGTTGACAATATGACAAGAATGTGATCTAAAGCAAAAGATTTTAAATTGTCATCAGTCGCTATTGCTTTCCAGCAATCAGTGAGGCTCCTAAAAAACAACAAATAAAAAATAAAAATAAAATAAACATTAAAAACAAGAATATAGATTTTTTTAAATTACTCATGTAGGGGTAATGGCTGTTTAAGAAGAACATTTATAACGAGTTTAGGATGATGTTTCGCCAAAGCAAGCACTGCTCTAACACCATTAGTTGGATGACCACCTGATGAGACTAGTTGAAGAATCAAAGAACCTGGACAAATAATCTTTTCAGCATTATGAACAAAAAACTTTATAATTTAATTAAATTACCTAATATATCATTAATGTAATGAAACAATTCAGCCCCTTTTAATGTGAAGACGGCTGCAAGGACGTCAGATGCATTTGAACAAGCTGTTACGTCTACATCAGTAAGGCCGTCGAGTAATCTTCCAGTTAATTTATGGAGTTGTGGATGCGGTAGTTTATTACAAAGTATCTATACATTAAAAAATACTTCAATAGATATGAATTAAGCTGTATTTAAATAGAAATTCAGGTCCAACTGACCTTTGTCAAATGCCAAGATGTGTTTTCTTCAGGGAGATTTTCAAACATCCTTTCTATTTTTGGGTCATGAGAATGTCCATCGTATACGTTCGATATAGCTAATACTATTCCTATACAATGAGCAGCAACTTTACATACTGACTCTTCTGAGTCGAAGTATCTAACAACTAACGTCCCTATAATATCTCCGCTTTGGTTAAATGTGCTGGGGGTCTAGGACAAAAAATAAAATTTATTATCAGTAGGATTGTACAATTTGTGCAATTTGTGTACTCACAACGAAGCCAGGTTGCATGTTGTGATAATACGCTAAAAGTGCCGTCCTAAGTACTGTTAAGGCCGAGAGCCTTTGTGTCGAGTTTCTGTGCTTGATCCACGGTTCGAGTAAAGTTGTAATTTCATCCAGCCTATCAGGTGTGACGCTGTCAAGAAGGAGTTCTTCGACAAGCTCACCTAAAATTAACACGATGTCATTCTGATTTTCGCCGGTGTTAACATTTAATTTACCTAGCTGTTTCAGAGTTTGAAGACATACAGCATTGCCGAAGCCGTTTGCAGGTGATTCTTGAGATAATATTCGATCAAAACATGTTTTCATAATATGCTGCCTTGAATCAGGCACTAAATGCGGTGGGAGTTTACTAGTTCAAATGTAAGGATATATTTTTAGTGATAGGTAGTGAATTAAATTATGACATCCAAAGAGTAAAAAAAAATACTTGTCAAAATACAAATCGAAATGGATCATTTTAACAAATCAAAAAATAATTAAATCGCACCATAAATTTTATTTATCAGAATAAAATAATAATTGGTCAAGTGGACCATGAAAACTAGTGAATTTTGATATTTTTAATATTGGAATTTAAGATTAAACATTGCCAATGGACAGAGTTTCTTTCTTCATTTGTTTTTCTAGATACCATTTTACTTAAATAAATAATAAAAAAACCAATGAACAAAAACCTTGTGATAATTTCTCTCAAAGTCCACAATTTAATCAATTTTAGACACAAAGAGAAACCTATGAGACATATCAGTACAGAATATCAGCCTATATTGCTATAAATAATAAGGATACACTAGTACAGTAATGACTTTTATTGCCAATGGATTAGGTTTGTTTTGTTGTACCAGCTGCAAGACCGTGTCTAAAATATTGGCCCGATTTTTAATCGAATGTTTCGTTTCAGTCTTATGCCTGACTAGGCTCTCAGCACAGTTAAGTATAGCTTCCAGTGCAGCATCCCTTCCAGCTTGTTCCTGCAAGATAATTCCATTTTAAATAAATTTAATTTAATTGATATCATTATACTCACTTTAGCACTGGTTATTTGTATCATAATCCATTGTGTAAGTTGGTCCAGTTTGGGAAGAAACTCCATCAGCGGACATCTGTTTGCAATTGCAGCATAACACTCTAAAAGCGCTTCCCTGCATTTTTCAGTCTGGAAATTAACCATTTGTTAAAAAAAATTCAGTAATTTTAATTAGATTTTCAATTAACAACCTCTGCTTCTGCTTTTGAATCTTTCATTAAATTCCAAAGCCTGGAATTTCTTCTGTTCAGTTCGGTCTGCGCTATTGTATCCAATTTGGTCAAAACCATATCTAAATGTGCAGAAGAGAGAATGCCTATTGCTCTTGCGCACTCCTAAAATTGATTTAATCGGAATGACGGTAAAAACATAAATTGTGCTTTTTGACATTACCTTCATTGAAACTTGATTAGTTTTAAATTTGGACAAGATTATATCAAGATGTTCAGCCACGATTGCTTTATCTTCTATTACAGCTGTGTTTATCGCAAGAGTAGAAAGAATTACATTTGCTTCATCGTTTAAATGATTTATCGTCAATAACTCAGCTAGATGTTTTGACATAGAAAGTGGCCACTGGCCATCATGGCACGATATCGTTGTCACAGTGTTGTTAATCATTTCAAGAAGTAATGAATCCCACTCTGATTCACTCCATTCAGAAACTTCAATTTGAAAAAAAAATGGGTTATTTATTTTTAATCATATAATTTAAAAAATATTTATTTGTTTAATATTTCTATAATAGTAAACCCAATCCATTGTTTAACAAATATTGTATGTAGTTTATAAACTGACCATGTGGTTTTGTTTTACCTTGCAGGTAATTAATTAATTGGGGCAATTTGTAAGTCCATAGATCAGCTATGTGTACACTTATAAAAGGTGAGAACTGTTGTAGAAAACAAAGAATGGCTGGGCCCCTGTTGCTGTTCAAAGGAGATCCTAGAAGAGCGAAACACCGACACAATACCAATTCCCTACTCGGCTCACCTTCACCTGTAAACCAAAATTTTCAATAAAGTCGACAATTAAAATTGACATCTCTAACATTACAATATTTCGGGTCTCTTTTAGGGGCGATTTGTGTTAGAGCTTTTGTTATAACGGGAACGGCATGGTCGTACGTTGAGTCAGTAACTAGTTTCAAAAGGCAGTTCCATAGAAGATCTTGCATATTTTCGACTGTACTGCTCAGAAGTTGAATAGTCGAGGAGCAAACATTGGCTAATTCATTGTGCTCAAGGCCCTAAATAAAAGTAGTTTGTAATATTTATTTATAAATTGGCAACAGATAGATTGTAAAAGAAACCTTACAATTTGAGTCGGTAAAACAGCACAATGTCGGACTAAAAATTCAACAAAATCACTTCCATTTTGTGCATATCCTTTACACGATAGAGCTATTATCACTTTTACTAATGCCTTTTTCACCTGAAAATATTTATTTAATTATTTTATTGATGATAAAACAGTTAAATTAATTTGGATAAACATAAAATAATTTTTTTATTGACCTTAAGTGAAGGGTCTTGAAGAACACCACGAATAGCAGAAGTTATTTCATTAACCCTTTGTCCGAGGACCTCATTACTGCCCAAAATCAAATGAGAGCAAACAATGAGTGCTTCAATTTTATCCCTTTCGTTTCCCATCCTTAAATGTTTTATTAAAAGATCCCCTAGACGTTCGGGAAAATGTTCTCCTAAAAATTGTACATTGTTTAACTCGAATTAAGATTAGAATAAAAAATAATCTTTACCCAAATGATCATAACAACGTAAAACTTCGTTGTTCTGTTTGACTGTCGGTGGTAATGTAAAATCTGGTGGTACAACAACCTGAAATGTGAAAATGTACATGTATAAAATAGAATTTTATGACTACTAAAAATTGAATTACCATATTTCCTAAACTGTGAAGCGTCTGATCTAAAACAGGCTGAATCGCTTGCGGAGTCGCTGCTTTAAGAACAGTGGCAAGGCATTGGGTGATCAAATAATGAGGAATACATGGCCTTTTATAAGCATTCAATAAACAAATTATGGCTCTGGATGTTGCCTGATTTGCCTTCCCTTCAGGCAAAAGGGTAAATATAGGGCCTAGGGAGTTTATCGCACTTTCACAGACCTATAAGTAACAAAATTATTGAAGTAAAATAAAATAGACAACAAACAAATAGTACAAGAACAATTTGCTTCTATTATACCATCCTATCATTCCCATTTTATACTGGTGGGATTAATCTTAATTAACAATATAGCAATGAAATTAATAATTAATTACCTTTATTTCTTTAGCTTGGATCCATGAATTAGCAATCACATTATAAGCGGCTGTAATTTCCTCACTAAATGTTTCCTTTGAAAGTGAATCATCAGGTTTACTAAGATATCCTACGTATTCTAATATGGCCTCGCTAAATTTTCCAACGGCTAAAATAGAAACGTTTATGTTCAAATTTTACGAAGAATTAGTTTTGTTTTGCCACTTGTCCCCTTAGTCTGTTTGGGGGAGGGACTTATTTACAACTTGTAATACATGTAAAATTTAAATATATAATTTTAAGTATAAATTTGATAAATACTTTTGCCTGTAAGAGGTACACAAATAAAATAAGACAATCGTAAGGTACTTGAACTTCAACGGATGGCATTTCTGTTAACACAAGGTGCATCTATATTAATACTTTTTAAAGAAAATATTATTCAAATTTTTAAGCTTTGTAAAATTACAATTTTTTTTTTTTAAATACTGGCACCCGAGAGTTCATGTAACCTGGTAGTTGCAATTCATTCACTTTTTTTTAATTTCAAAAATATATTAAATATTTAAAAAGAACAATGAAAAATTAAAACTTTTCCAGAAATAAAATATATGGTTTGAAAATGGTGCAAGATGTCGCAAAATCGTAATTTTTATTATAAAAGAGATTTTTCATACTGTAATTTGTCACATAATAAGACCAACCAACAAAAAGGAATTGAATAAACCTAGTGTGGGATTAAGTTGTGCCAGTCATATTCAGTCACAATCCAATGTTTTGATTTGGTTTGCTTTAACCATTAAAATTGACCATGTGTTTTGGGCCTTAGAAACCCTTCAATCTCACCCTAGTTGAGAAAGATTTGTTTTATCATGGTATGAATTTGAACTTAAAATGATATGAACTTAAAACGATCAGATAAGTAGTCAGATTTTTGTGACAATAAAACAATAATAAAGTATATTGTTCAACCATCTGCATTTAAACCAAAATTAAATTTAGATTTTATAAAGTGGGAAGAAAACAAACTAGATAATCAACTAATCCAGCCTTGAACTTTAGAATGGGCTAATTTTGTTAGGCTAATATTGTTATTTACTGATAATGAAAATTATTACATAAAATTAATGTTTATATTTTATTAGCTCTGGTTTAAAATACCAACAGAACTGTGTTAAATTTAACCAAAATGTAGGTTATTTAATTAATACACAGCAAATAAATGTATTTTGAATATATTTTGCTTTTTTCTTCATTCTTGACGTTGGGTTAAATCATTAATTTTATTATGTTGTTGTGGCATTTTGGCATCCTGTGCCATCTTCAAAGCAGTTTATTTCTGTAAACTTTTTTCATTTGGCATTTTGTACTTAATACGTTTACATACTTGTACTTAATAAAAATATATGTAAAATTAAAATATTTCCCAGCAACAAAGTGCTTTGCAGATGGCAAAGGATGCCAAAACATTACAATAAAATTGTAAAGTTAATTATTTTACCCAACTTCAAAAATAGTCTAAAAATAATGAAGAAATAAAAATATCTAAAAAGAAAAAGAAAAATGAAGGATTTTTTTTTTCTATTTGTACAATTTGATTAAAATCATCCTTCCTTGCCCTACTTTTTATAACAATCTAGACACATTTAGTTTAAGCACAATGCAAAAGTGTGACCTATATTGATATCATTTTTAAAAATAGTTTTATAACTTATGAGCCAAGTTAAAAATGAATAATTGTGCAATAATTTATAAATACCAAATGACAAAGCAATCCGAATCTGCTCATTTCTGCATGGTGGCATCATTGGAACCAAAATACTCAAGGCAATTTTAGCAACTGGCACGAATCTTTTTGCATCCGATGAAGCCAGACGACCTAGCGTCGTCAGAAAGCAAGCATTAAGCTCATATTCTGGTTTCAAGTAGAGGAAAACGTATTCCAAAACCTGCAAGAATTTTTTTTTCAATTGTCGGCTGGCCACGCTTTTGAACAATTTTCTAACATACCTGTTTGAAATGATTGGGAAATATATGAATGAGGATGTCACTTGATACACTCTGAGCAGCTGGTATGCTGTCATTCCTCTGCATCTCTTTGAAGCTGAATTGCACCAAATTTGTGACGACTTCATCTGGAAGTTGCATCTTCTCCTGAGCTGCTGTTTCCAATACATTCAGGATTAAAAGTATACTATTTTCCGAAATCTATTTTGAAAAGAAAATTTAAAGAAAACATATAAAATGAGAACCAACTGGAGGAATATGTGTTGTTTTACTTTTCCATTTTTTTCTCTGTACAAAATGATATTTTCAACAACATCTTGAGGGTACTTTTTGATAAGGCTGTGCAGAGCTTTGGATGTAGCTTCTCTCACGTTCTGCTCTTTGTCGTTTGTCGCTTCTAAAAGATATCCTAGGACTTCTAGAAAATCATTTCAAATGGGCAGCATTAACCAAATATTTAAATATAACGCTTTGCGATTTGGTCTAGAATCATTTTGAATTGAGGTAATTACCTATTAGTTGAGATTCCTGTGTTTTGTTGTCCATTTTAATTTAATTAATAAACATTTACCCAATTATAAAAATTGCAAACATAGCGAGTTGGAAACTTCAGCTCATATCATAACGTCAGATAAGGGCAAAACGAGGAGGTTTTATAACAGCCTTCTGTCATGATCGAACATGACAAGTTGTCTAGTCATAACAAGATGGGAAATAAAAAATTTCCCTAAATGAACAGATTTTAGTTATTCAGCTAGAATCAAATGATACCAAATTACGAAATAATTACTATTAGAATTACAATTCATCAATTTTACCACGTTTTCATTTATGAATTTAATTCTTTTGAACTTACGGTTGTATTTCCTACGCGCTTGTGTGATAAACCGCAAGTAATAATATAATTTTTCCTTTTAAGGAATGTACCTATCCTTTCTGCTAGCAATACCATATGGTATAGGTATCTATCCATGGATTGTATGCTTTAAGCACGGAACGGGGGATATAGTAGCTCTTAAACGGCGCAGTATAATACACACCCCCGACTATTACATCTACATCCATCCATGGATCCTGTCGTAATTTTTCTGCCTTATGCACACTGCAATACCTTTTCATTCGGATAATGCAAGATTGTTAGATTTTCTAATAAGAAGAAGGTCTAATAAGAGCTTACATTGTTTAATATTCCTACCCAGGGGAAGGGATTCGTTCCTGTCAGTAGTGTAGAAGCGAAAATATCCTCTTGCCCATTGCCATCAACGTCTTGTATGTCCTGAAATCAAGTAATGTGGCTGTTTCGCATCCTCAAAGTGTGGCCTTTATAAAGCCATGAATTAGTGTGCTCTTTCATTACCCAAGACTCCTTTGTGTCCTGGTACCCAAGATTTGACAGGTTGTAGCGTTTTCCCGTACGTACTAGTGCTAGTTGCTTGGCTATCTCATTTTATTAGGATGTTTTGTCAGTGTATGCACATCCCATTGCTTGTTTTTGGAGTTTCAATGAGCTTTTTCTAGCTTCTTCTTATATAACTGTTTCTTACGGAAGTAGGTTCAGTAGCGTTTTTAATGCAGTTGTTCAGGATGTTTTCAATGTTCCTGTGATGCATGTTCTATGTAGGACTTACTACCAGACACGTCTTTAACAAGGTCTTGACAATCTTACCCATTCCTGTTCATTTTTACACGTAGGTGGGCCCAAAACTCTGGAGTCTGAATGAACTCGAATAGCTCCCCATCCATTGAAATGCATGAGTACTGAATATTCTCTAATTAATATGACTCCAAAGAATCTCCTCTGATTACATTGAGATTACATCTTTGCGCACATGGGAACTTACAAGGACTTACGGACGTAGGATCATCGATTTTAATTAAACTTTTTTGGTTGTACTAGGTCGAAAAATATTCGATATGTAAATGAGCTATCTTCCAAAGGAGCACTATGAGCCGAGAGAAAAAAAATAGTTGAAGTTAAATATATATATTTTTAAATACGTTTTTCTGCCTTTGTTGGAGATGTATTTCAAAGCTATTAAAAGTAACAAAAACCAAAAATCGTCCCCAGTAAAGTAGGAAAAAATTTGTCAACAAAATTTTAAAAGAGTAAAAAATACGACTTGAAAAATGTTCCGTGATAAATAAATATTGAATCTTTTGAATAAATACGAAAATCTGAAAAGTAAGAACGTATTAATAAATATTGAGAGAGAGAGAGAGAGAGAGAGAGAGAGAGAGAGAGTGAGAGAGAGAAAGAGAGAAGAGGAGAATGAAAGAGAGAAAGAGAGAAGAGGAGAATGAAAGAGAGACAGAGATAGAAGATGAAAGAGAGGAGGAAAGAGAAAAAAGATAAAGAAAGAGAGACATATATATATATAGAGAGAGAGAGAAAGAGGAGGAGAGAGAGAAAGAGAAGGAAAGAGAGAGAGAGAGAGAGAGAGAGAGAGAGAGAGAGAGAGAGAGAGAGAGAGAGAGAGAGAGAGAGAGAGAGAGAGAGAGAGAGAAGGCAAGTAATAAAAGATAAGGTGTTCGTTTCATTATTTCTAATACAATGTTAAACTCGTCTTTGCCAAAATCTTTTCACTAAAAGATTTAAAAAGAAGATAATGAAGTTAACTATAAAGTGACCTTCAATTAGTGACCGCATTAGCGATAAAACAGCTACGACTGTTAGTCATATTTACCAAGACGTTTGATATTCGGAAAAGCATGTATTAGATTCAGGCTCTTTTATTCGTCCACTTTCACGATACTCGAGAGATTTTCTTCGGTTCATTACTTGGACAAACATATAGAAACCGAAGAGACGTAAAAAGGCCTCAAGGCAATTTAGGGCCCCCCATTCAGCGTAGTAGGTGGAAAACTAGGCTCATTGTATCCCCTGGTAAGATTGTAAATCCTGTCATCCCCATGTCAAAACACAAAAATAAAAGCTGGAGAAGTTTTATTTACCCTTTGGGCGGGGAAGAATAAAATTTTTACTTCCTTTCAACCGACTGCACAAAGCCTGATTTTATGACTAACCTAATATTTGACCTATTTTACCCCCCTCAAATAAAAGAGACAGTAAGAACTTAACTCAACCCCCAAATCCATAAGACCCGATATAATCGGTGAACAATCAAAAACAATCTTAATATGAAAATAACCCGAAGCAAAATTAGTATGAATTACAGTATAAAATAATTGAATATGAAACAGAGCCAACCACTGAAGATAATAAATAGATGGAAAGAATTAATCTAACCCCTCTTATAATTACATATATTCCATCTTACTTATGTCCGCTATTATATTTACACAAAATTAAATAAAAACTTTTTTTCCCTTTTGTGTTAATGCCTTGTGATATTTGATAAAAAGATAATTTTCTGGTACCGTATTTATAGCTAATAGCTAATATTCTATTGATAATTGAACATTTAGCCCTATTTTAAATACGCTGGTCCGTCTATCCTCGCATTGTTTTAGCCTGAATTTACCAACTTTTCGTCCCACGCAAAGGTCGTCGAAGACGAACTACTTTCATTCTCACCAAATAGAAATTTATCCTTAATCAAATATCTTGGTGATTTAGAAATACGTTAATAAAGCAATATTAATACAAAATTAAATATAATATTTTATTGTAATTCAGTAAATTTGTGTAAAGTTTTGATCAGAAAAAAAAATGCCGGATGGTTTAATTTTTCTTTTTTTCAGGCATTTTTTGAAGGTGGTTAAAATTTTTTATAAATATGACGTTTAACCAACCTTCACAAAAGGCCTAAAAATAAGAAAAATTAAACCAAACAGAAAAGTAGAAGGCCAACAAAAACTATGCAGAAAAGAAAAATATTTTCTTACATTGGAAATCGACAGAACCCTGGTTCAAATACGTAATAAATAATCCAGAAATTACTTTGTGAAATTTCCTCATGGGATTTGCGAAGTGATGGACCTATAGTATACTCGTTTCCTATCATTTTTATCTGTCTATACACCACTGAAGATGACGAAAAAAAAGCAGCAACGCGTTTAGACCAAACCAGCGGGGATAGGCAGACCATAATGATTGGAAACGACAAGACTATAAATAAATTACTTTTTAATGTGATATTAACTGAAAAGAAGTAGCTAAGCTGTTTTTAAAGAAAATTTATACATATAACTATATTAAATACATATATGTTATAAGTTGTATTTAAAACTGCGATATTTCTCCTCCGTCATTATTTTTGCACACGTAAACTCCTATCTCTCACTAGTTGTTAGTTTTCCTCCACCTTACTTACTTCTTTCTCGTTTTCTCTCTCTTTCTCCCGTGCATATTCCTCTCTCTCTCCTCTCTTTCTTTCTTTCTGTCTATGTTGCTACGTCACAATGTATACCTTCCGAATCACTGATCCATAAATATAATATGAATAAATCTTGCCGAAATAAAGAGTTATATAATATTAAAATTTGTATTTTTTATGTAAGGTCTTGGTTGAGATGAAAAAGTTAGTGTCACGAGCGAGATTCGAACCCACGACCTTCGGCTAAATACGCCGCTGCTCTATCCACTTGAGCTATAGCGATTTCGATCCACTCGGACAGCAACTCCCGACTAGCCGAAGGGTGTGGGTTCGAATCCCGCTCGTGACACTAACTTTTCATCTCGACGAAGGCCTTAGATAAAAAATACAATTAATTTATAAAAATTGTTTTAAATGTTAAGTTAGGAGTATTGCAGTGAAAATATGGTATGATATAAGGTAAAATAGGAAACTTAAAATTTTTTATTGGAGTTTAAGCAATAAAAATTGGACTGGAACATTTTCATCTCCACCAAGACCTTACATTAAAAAAAATCAATTGAAAGAAGAAATTTTGCCAATTGGACCACTAAACATAATGGATTAAAATTAATTTAGGTTATTCTGAGTCTTTCATTTTATTTTAAACACCAACGTGTAACCAATTTTTTTCCGGCAAAAGCAGGTATAAATTATAGTGTACTTTTCTTTGCCTGCTTAATTACACTAAAATGTCAAAATAAAGGTAATAAAGATTAAATAAACCTCCAGAGTGCAAAGGTACCGACGAAGTTAACACCCAATTCCGCAAAATGCCATGAATACCCCTTAATACCTCAAAGGACACCGACAACGACACCCACGCCGATTTGCACCGAAACTATATTTTGTACAGGAAAAGCTATTTGATTCTTGAATTTGTTTAATAATGGCCATCCATGGCATTTAACAACATTTAAAACAAGTATGGATTTGGATTTTCTTCTGAATATTTTTAACCTATTAAAATACATACAAACAGGTGAATTTAAAAAAACAAGTCTGGTTAAGCTGACTTTCAAAATGTCCATTATTGTTTCTTTAAACATTGACTAGTCTACATTAAGCATTCTTTATTACGGCATTTCAAATTAATTTGCATAGTAGTACGCACCAGTATTTAGTACAATACAAGTAGTCACGATAGCTCAAGTGGTTAGAGCAGCGGCGTATTGAGCCGAAGGTCGTGGGTTCGAATCCCGCTCGTTACACTAACTTTTTCATATCAACCAATACCTTACATGAAAACCCTAATTAATTGAAAGAAGTAATTTGGTCAACCAGACCACGAAATATAAACGTTTTAGTACAAGTTTAGACTTGATTATTTGGAGATCGTGAGATGCGGTCTGGTGTGACGTAGGTTTAAAAAAACTTTTTTTTTATCGTGCCAACGTTTCGATCTTTATTGAGATCATCTTCAGGGCCTGGAATTTATAATCATTGTTCAAATTATAAAAATACATGTAAGATGTGAAAAAATAAATTTATACAATGATAAAAATTTGAGACTCAATCAAAGCATTTGTACTCACTCGAAGTATTTGTAGTTTAGTCTTGAACTAATTTTGCCGATGCAGTAATTTTTGTATAAATATTTTTTATTGCCATATTTACATAGTTGATTTGCATTGAGAGAAGCAAATAATCGTCAATGTTATTCTCCCATTTCACTTCACTAGATTATTCCTAAGAAAGGAGGTCGCGTGGCCATTTCAACTTGAGGATCTTTATAGGATTGTAGGGTTGGGATCTGTTGAACAAGACTCTGCCAAGATTATTGGGGTGATGGAAAAGTTAATTATGGAACTTATTAAATTTTTGCAGAATTAATTTCTGGATAAATGGGATTTTAAGATCGTTGTGGCTTTAGATCGAATCGATTGAAAACGTTAGTTATTGGAAGGTTTAACGGTTCCCCACATTTTTACACAGGTCTGGTCGTACGTCAAAATCGGTTGTAGAAGGATTTTGTATATTTTAAATTTATTTTTCGTCCTTAGCTTGGATTCGACTAATAAGTTAACAACGTAGACCGTAGTCAATGTAGGTTCAAGGTAACAAACGCAGTCAGATTGGTGATAGTAAACATTGTCTTAAATTGTGAGAGGAGATTTGCGTCGGAGTGTTAATGTGACATGAACGCACTGGCTTTCATTTATCTTCATTTTACATTGCTTACACCAATACATGATTATCTCTCAGCAGTTCTTCCGAAGAAACTATATTATAGTTTTCAGATGATATTTCTGTTGGGTCATCGGCACAAAATGCAAGGCGCGTGTAAGATGTAGAGAAGAATATCTGCGATACAGAGTATAAAGAGGATTGGTCCCTGCACACTGCCCTACCGTACATCTACGGCCAGAAGTAGTCAGAGTATTCTGATCCTGGTATCGTCGTAGTAGTAATAAACTATTAAATAATATGTAAAATATGGGCATTTTATTTGTAGACGGAAAACATAATTAAAATCGTATGAGTTACATTTAGTAGTGGGAATTCCTGTGTTATATGAAAATTAGCAGTTAATTTAAGAACTATAGAAAACAGGTCATTCTATTGTCCAGAAAAACCTCTACGGGTTTGAAAAGTTTGGGAACTTTCACGGTCAGCAAAGAACGAGGCGTCCAAAAAAATTGTAAAGGATCTATGAACAAGAAATAACGAAGAAAATTCATTATGACCCAAAAACCGTTGCTGCACCCCTTGCAGGCGTGGAAAATGATTCTGCGATTAAAGTTTCACTATGAAAATGTGGAATATAATCAAAAATATCGGAGATAACTCGCAAATAGTAGAATAAAAACGTACGTCCGTTAAAAAAGTATTATTCGAATAATCCTGTTAGTTTGTGTAAAAAAGTGTGAATATTATTTATTTTCATCTAGGTCTAGCGAAAACTTGAAACAGCATTAGGAACGGATGAACGTGAAGAATCGTAAAAATTCGTAATTTGGTCGTTTCCAACCATTTAGGTCTGTTAATCCTCGCTGCTTTGATCTTTCAGACGCTTCACGCCATATTCAGTGCTGGGATTGGCAAGAATATGCGTTACAATGTTTAACACCCAATTATTGACGTTTAATAGGTGCAATCTTTCTTCAGTTGATCTTCACTCTTCACAACCTTCAGTAGCTAGAGCTTAATATTACCGATAATTCGTTTCCCGTCCATTTGACATCAAATCAATTCTGTGTCATGTCATAATAATAATAATGATCTTATATCATTACTGCTGGGATATGAGGTTAGAGTCCTACTTCCGCGGGAATATATCCCTCAACACTATGTAGTTTGGTCGTTAAGGATCGTATTGGTTTTTAGCCGACATCTGGGAGCATATCGGCTTCACGTTATATTCAGTGCTGGGAACGGAAATAATATTTTTCCGTAAAGTATTGCTTATTCCAAAATGCGTCTACAACTATTAGGCTATTTTTTGCAATTTAACATTTGCGATCTTTCTTTAGTTGATCTTTCCAAACGGATAACCTAAAATCAAGTGTGTAACTCGTGATCCATGTTTATTATTTGTCTTCCAAGACAATGGCAAAATAAAAATTGAAAAAAACGGATCGGGAAACGTCTAAGAGAGGGTCTAGTGCGCAGCATGACTGCTAAAACGCCATCCTATTTAGGGATGGGACGAAACAAGGTCGAAGCAAAATATATTATATATACATATATATATTTCTAAATTAATATGTTGTTGGTTTTAACCGGAGGGATATTTATTCAATTTTTTCCACATTTTATTTCAGAACTATCGACAACGCATTTACCAAAGCTTCTTTTGCTGTAGATAAATTTGTTGACTATTTTTTAAAATCGATTTTCTAATTTTATTTATTATTCATTTTTGTTGGTAATTTAGCGACAAATTTTTAAAAACGTTTTTGTTTTACACATTCAATTCACATGAGACATTTTTAAGAAGGTTGGTTGGTGTATTCAGCAATATTTGGAGAAAAAATCAATCTCAACCAAAATATTAGCCAAAATAAAGTGCATCAGAAACAATCGAACAGGTATTTTATTTATTTGTTTATTTTTTTAATTTCCCTTCATTAAAAAAGTGGATGGAGCACAACATCGGTCACCCTGTTACATTGAAAAATCAACTGTACGGATTTTTATGGCATTAAAAATTTATTATTTTTTTAGTTGATTGTTATAAATGTTTTTTAAGTGTCCATACTGATTTTGTGGAACTCCATAATAAGTTGATGGGTAAGAAATAAAGTGTCTTTTCCACAATAGGCATTTATTGTGTCAAAAGCGTTTCGGTCTAACATAGACCATCTTCAGTGATTCTTGACAGACTATCGCCACGTCCATAGTAGTCCAGATATCCACTTTTGAAATTGCAACTGTGTAAGAAACCGTCAAACTCTTTATTTAAAAAAAAGTCGCTGACGATGGACTATATTAGACCGAAACGCATCTGACAAAATAAATGTTTACTGTGGAAAAGACAATTTACTTCCTACTCATTGATTGTTATAAAGTTTTGTTATGTCCTGATTTTGTGTTTCTCACCATTAAAACTTTGTAAAACATCTAATATATTTTTCTATTATCTTGTTTTATAATAATACAATAAAATAATTTATGGACTTTTGGCCAGTTTTACTAGCTGAACTGATAGTGAACTATTTTTAATATGTTATTGAGATTTTCAAACGTGCTCGGTGGTCCGACAAGGAACTGCTATAAGGCCAAGGTTTTGAATATTTAACGAAGTCATTAGTTATTTAAAATCCAAATAGGGTGTTTGAAGCAAGGGTTTTACTGGGGTCCCCGGTGTAAAAAGAGATGGATTAAACTAGAAAATTGTATTGCAAACGACTCCCTGCAAGTGGGGTAGCTGTGCTTTCCAATAGGGTAACCGACGGTGGGGATGGAAAAACTAGGCGGTACCGAATACGGATTGGCCACACTCGGATCCGCCCAACGCCCATTTGACCACAATTCCCGTCCTCGCTTGGCGTTCACTCCTCAGTCTTGTCCCAGACACTACTCAGAGATGATCTCCATGAACGATCCGTCCGTCGGGATGATACCTTTCGACAGCATTGGCCTTTATGAGCAACCGAAACCGAGGCTCATCCTTAAAATGCCTAGGGTCTTTCCGGACCAAAAGGCGAAATTCGAGCAGGACGAACTGTTCAGGAGGTTGAGCCGTGAATCAGAAGTAAGTCAATGCTTTTTTGGAGTACGTAAACAAATTGTACCTTCTGTATTAAAACAAGCTGTAAACATTTCTGGTTGCTCTATCTTTAAACACCATACAGTGTATATTTCATTAATAACCGTAGCCAATTCACAAATTATTTAATCAGACAAACCAATTTTTTTTTTGTTACAAAAATTATAAAAAGAGCTTTAAATTTTATTTATATAACTATTACAGACAATGTAACTAACTTACAAATAAAATAGAATCCAAACATGTTAAAATCCCTGAATAGGATCTGGACAAGTATTAGTGTGGAAACAATTCAATTGATTGTCTGCATTATTTATTTTTATTTATTCTTCTATAACTGGTTCTTTTTATTATATTACATAATTTATAAATAACTAAGTAGTAGTAGTGTTAACGTAAATGTTGTTCTTTGAATCAACAATCTCTGCTTTTATTGCAATAAATAATTAATTATTTCTTTAAAAAAAGTTTATTCAATGATTTTTCAGTTTTCATCGTGGAAGTATTCAAATACAATCTTTCTTCTGTGACGTTCCCTCTTTGAAAATAATAATATTTGTATATATTTGTAATTAATTATAATATTTGTGGCAAGGTCTTATATAGGAGGATAAAAATCCTCACAATTTCACCACTTACACATTTAACAAACATGACACTACAGGAATAACACTAAACTTTTTGTGAGTATGAATACTTTAAGTTAAAAATTCTTCTTTATATTAACAAAACCCTTTTCATTTTTTGTAAAAAAAGTTTAATCATATTTCACAATCAAGTTTGGAACTTACCCAGGCCTTGGGGATTACCAGAATGAAGGTCGAAACGTCTGAAATTAAATAAAAAAAGAGTCAACCACTTATTGTTAACGTAAATGTCGTCATTTCCTCATTTTATATAGTCTAATTAACTATTAATTTAAAAAAAACATTTACTACCTGTGATTTTCATTTTTCAACCTTATTTGCTCATAATGACGCCTTGTAAAATTCAATACGAATTTGTAGAATTTAGTTTTTCAAAAACTTAAATTTGAAATGTAATTACTGTCATTTCTAAATAATCGCTCGATTAAAAAAACGGTGTCAAATTTAGACGAAATATTTTGATTAATACGTCATAATTTACAAGTGTCCTGTCTAGTGGTGCCTTCTGCTCATAAAACGAAATAATTCCGAGTTTGATTTTTCTTTCACGCATCTTTCCTTCATACTTTTTATCTCCTGTTTTCTATACTTGCTATCGTTGTTTACGAAGTGTTTAAGTTTTAAAACACTATTACTATAATAATAAAAGAACAATAAGACACGTATACATACAAACACATTCACCCCCTGCCAGTTTTATATCAATGTGTTTTAAAATTGTACAATCTGGATTTACTTAATTTGTACTCAATTAGTTGTAATTGAAAAAAAAAATTGAGATGTCTCTTCCAAAAAACAAGTAGAGATCTAAAAGATAATTGTCGTTATAGACAGCATTCACTTAAAAATTGTTTTCTAGTCCTCAAAATGGTTTTGTTCCGAATAGCGAAAGTTTAGTAATGAAACACGATTTACTACTGTTAAACTATACTCTCACATGTTTTACCTCACAGGTTTTATACAGTCTTAGCCAAGTCACATAGAAATATTTAAAGAAAATATCACACGTTCGTAAATCTATTACATTAAACGTCCAGTAAATTTTTTTAAATTAATTGGCGCAATTTTTTTTCCTTGAGGAACTCAAACAGTGTGAATTACTTACAATGCGGAAATAAAATCAATGTAAAATCATGTCAAAAAGGCTTCTCGAAACGCGGCGCAACGGTTAGGCAAAAACGCGAAGCGTTCCGGGAATTACCTAATTACTCATCGGCTTTTCCTTCGTCTCTCCCAATACTGTAATCTTCTGGATGTATTTTTCCTTTTTGGTTCTTCTTGACGTCAATGCGGGATTTTCCAAATGGAGAATCCATCGTTTATTGACGTTATTAACTATTTATTATGCTTTGGTAAAAAAAAAATTATGTTAAAATATGGAATATTAAAATATAAAATTGTATGAGAAAAAACTTCGGTTTTATACTTGCAAATTTTAATGTAAAAGTCAACGTTGTTTAAATACGTTGCTATAATAACGGATCTAAAAATATTTTTGTTTTTAATGAATATAGAAAGTTATCAATAATGAAAAGTATTATTGCCATATGGCTGATCTCCCCTTTTTTCCTATTCGAAAGCCCATTCAACTTCGAAAGCACCAACTATACAAAAGTATTATTGAATTACTTAACATATTAATTTTAATATGTACTAAACATTATTTTTAGAATATCAGTAATGCACAATGTAATGGGGAGGATAAAAACTAAGTTATTTTATTTAATGTCCGACAAATTATTCTCAAACAAGAAGACACAAACGTGGTTGGTTAATTCAAATCTGGAAGGTCAGTTGCTCAATTCTTTGGCGGTATTATTTATTTGATTTATTTTTTTAAAATAACGTCATCCAATGTATACGTATTGTATGTATACTAGGAGAGAGATTTACTCCTAGAGATATACTAGAAGATACTAGGAAGAGGTTCGGAAAACTATTTTTAATAAAAGTTCCTTTCCTTTTGATAAAGTGAGAAAAGAATTAATTATAATTGTTATCGATGTTGGGCAATGCTTTGAGCTAATGGGTGCATAATCTGATTTGTTTGTTTTCATTCTCGCATTTGTTTAACGTGCTTTTGTTTAAACTATTTTAAAAAAGAAGTTGGTAAGTGTTCTGATTTTTGCACTAATTTTACTTCGAAATGGTAATACAATTATTTTCACTTTTGTTAAACAACCAAAAAAAAGACAAGCAAAATATTCACTGCCTATGTTAAACAAGCTAAGAGAATCGTGTAAATTTTATAAGTTGTTCCCATTTTTTAAATAAGTACATTTTTCTTAAGAATTAGAAAGAATGACCTTACTTCAACGCTACTTTGAAGATCACAGTAATAAAATTGGCCAGCATACGTACAGACTATCACAATTTTAAAATAAAATTTTCTGCTTAAAGAACCCCGCTCAAAGTGCATATACTTTGAAACATTCGTATAAATAAGAACACACTGAATATGTTCGAAATGCTGAACGAAATGTTGGACAGACCAAACAAGCGACGATTAGCAGACTATAATAATGGGAGGCAATTTACTTGTATTAAATAATCCTGATTTATATAAAATAATTAATATCCACTAGTGTTCGTGGTCCGCTTGACCAAATAATATTTTTCAATTAATTAATCTGAATTTAAGGTATTGCTTGAGATAAAATCTTTGTCATTTCGGTATATTTAGCCGAAGGTCGTGGGCTCGAATCCCGCTTGTGACACTGACTTTTTTATCTCAACCAATACTTTAAATACAGATTATTTAATAATTAATATAGTTGGTCCATTTTATAGGTTTTAGTGTGTTTGGTCTTTTTAAAGACAGAAAATGTAGAGCGTAACAAGCCTTATTACCTAAACTTTCCGTTTACATTGAAAACTTGGCAGTTATTTGTCATTCGTAACATTTTCCATAATTTTTTTTTCGAGGCAGTTAACAATTTTTATAAAATCACCATAGCTTAACACCATGTTATTAAAGGCCTTTTTTTAATTAACATGTAATCGTAACAGATCGGTTTCAAACTGTAGATTAGACATGTGTGTTTCTTAATGACCTGTTGTTCCATAATTTGTTGAAGTCGTGAGGAGAGGTCAAGAATGAGGTAATTTAGCAAAACATCTTTTTCATTCCTCAGAACATCAACAAATGTAGATTTGACCACTGGAAAAAAAAATATTTAAAAACATAAAAGTAGATCAATTCCTATCATGAAGGATGGGTTGACGTACAACTATCGAAAATAGCTGATACCCTTTATCGAACAGCTTTACAAACGACTTTGAATGTGAGATAGAGTCAAAGACCGTACAGGAGTCCATAAATATGACAAAAATGTGGTTTTATTTAGAGGTAATTGAATATTAATAATAGATCTCAAAATACAAATTGCATCATTGCATCCCTTCCTTGGCGAGACTTATTTGTTTGTGAGGATTGTTGTATCGGTGTAGTAAAATTATTCAGAAATTATTACATTCCTCCCCACAATTTACAAACATACGATCTTCACATGTTCTTCGAGGAGTGTGTTACTGTCCTGAATCCAGTTTGTCAGCCGTATTGATAAAATTCCAGTAAATACTTTAGCCATGTTATTAAATAAGGCAATTCCTCTATAGTTATTTGCATCCTTTGGGTCACCTGTTTTAAATAGTAATTTTAATTAATCTTTAAGTATTGGCTGAGATAAAAAAAGTCAGTGTCACGAGCGGGATTGGAACCCACGACCTTCGGCTAAATACGCCGCTGCTCTACCACTTGAGCTCTCGTGACTTCGATCCACTTGGACACGAACTTCCCATCTCAACAAAATTTTCCCTCCTTTTTGCCATTTTTCAAATTTTTCGCATCCCGCTCGTGTCTTTTTTATCTGAACCAATACCTTACATAAAAATGTTATTTGGTCAATCGGACCACGAAATCTAATGGAAGTAATTTTAATATTACTAAACCCCACTCTTCTGGCATTTCTTCAGACAAAAGGATTTTATAGAAGGTTTTGGTAGGGTCCTTGGTTGTGCTTTGTAACATTCATTTGGTATTATAACCAGTCTTGGAGCCTTATCATTTCTGGCAGAGGAAAAACCTAAGAGGATTTCATCTAAGGTTATAGGATCATCCAACAGCGGATAAAAAAAACTCCTAGATATTTTAATGATTGCTGGGGGTGGAATTGAAAATTGACTGCAATAACAGTCCAGTTCATAAATACTATGATCCTACCTGTCCCGCTTTTGTCTTTCCCAGTGAGTTTACTAACCTCCACCCTATTACTAACATTACTTCTTTGTTTCTTCACTATACTACTTTTTCCTGCATACGATAAGATTTTTTTTTTCTGGATAAAAATACTTCTGTAAGTTTTCTCCTTCAAAACCATAATTTTACATATTTTGTTGTAACTTCTATTGAAATGTCTTTTTCCTTCTTTACGATCTTTGTAGTACCAGAGTTTTGTAGTACTAGCTTGTCGATTACGAATAAAAATCTTTTGAATTTGTTTCATAACAAGTGTTTTGCATAACTGAACAAATGTTTTTATTATTGTCTTCAACATTATTGCTAATTAGTAAATGGAAGGTGATTTACTGATAATTTCATTAATTGGACGAGCAATTATTTCTCTTCCTGTTGTATATCAGTGTTTATTCTTTTTATCTTAGATTTTTGAAAATCATAAACCCTTTCAATTTTTTCCTGTTAATTTTAATAACGAAACTTTTATTTATTGCTTTCACATCATACTCATTTATTATTATATTTGCTGTGTTGTATATGAATGGTACAAATCCAGTCAGGTAAAAATTCCGTGAGATGATTTTACGTAATTTCTGACTTTTCCCTTTGCTTTAGACTTACACGATCATAATTCTTCAAGTCTAACTTTACTATTATTTCAAGACTGAAATATTATTTCTATACTGCGTTATTATACACTAGGGAAAACAGCCCACTTAGATTGTAAATTGTCAATTTGTGTCAGAATAACTGTCAAATTGGTAATGTTTGTCCACGTACCATAAACACAAATTGCACTGATCTTCGATTTTATTAATTATTTTATTTTCTTCTGTTAGGTGCGGTATACGGGATACAGAGACAGACCTCAGGAAGAAAGGCAGATAAGGTTCCAAAACGGATGCCGGGAAGGGCACACAGAAGTGGTAAGTTTTAAAACAACTAAAACCCTTTCGATTTCATTTAAAAGTTTTAAATATTTTTCTTGTTTCACAAGGCGTTCGTTGCGACTGGCACCAACATCCAACTTGTCTTCTCTCCTAGCGCGAACGGTTATCACCTACCTGGAAACGGCGATTGCGATTTCGACAAGGAACACGGAAAGGTAGGAGTTTTAAAGATATTTCCGACGCGTTACTTGTGCTTTTTATATCGAAACACGGCATAAAACATAATTACAAGCTTGGTTAGAAGCTCAGTTATACGGCAATGTATAAATGTTTATAACAAATCTTTTCTTTAATAAATGTATTTCTTCTAACTTGCACTACTCATGCTGAAATAAATTTAATAATATAAGCAGGAGAGAATAGAGTAATGAAGGGGAAATAAATATCAGTCCAGGGTATTAAGTCGAATTCCTAATAAAAAATTAATAACCTTTAAATAAAATTTAAAAAATTATAAGCCAAAAGTAAAATACACAAATAAATTATATTTATTGAAAAATAGTATTTTTTAACTTTTTATATTTGGCATACAAAAAAAAACTTACTTTGTAAAGACTAATTTGACATAGTTGTAAATATATTGCTCGTAAAAACAACCGACCACTGATTTTTGAACGAAAAATGGCCAGCTTTGAACATGCATATTTTCTCAGCCTTTTTAAGTCACAGATGTGAGCTAGGTCTCATTTTGTAGAAAATTTTACTCTGAACAAGATGGCTTTTTAAATGTTTTCCTACCGTCAGTCATTCATCCGGATCATTTTAATTTTTGCACTTTTCACTAAAACATCAAATTGAGCTGTGGAGACAGGAAATCGAATTTGGAGCGGCGTCCTGTAGCAATCGATAAAATTTTTTAATAAGCTTTCAATTCCATACACTTTTCGAGTTATTTGCGATATTAGGGCAAAAAGCGTGTTTTTTTACTTGGTCATCGAAAAAAACCGACTCACCCTCTCTCCCGATTCTACCATACATAAACCTATTTTGAAATGGGAAGGAAAAGTTGAATTTCCGTGATGAGGTAAGTGGTTATCGACAGCAGAAGCATTCCTCATTTCAAAAGGTCAAAGTAAGAAAAGGTAAGAATTATTTAGAGATCGTGAAATGCGCTCTGGTGTGACTTAGGGTTTAGAAAAACGTTTTCTTTACCGTGCTAACGTTTCGATCTTTATTGAGATCATCTTCAGGGCTCAAAGTGTTTGTTGTCTGTATAGATGTGTCATTATTGTGTGTCGTGTTGAGAGTGCCCTTAAAAGTAAGAATTATCTCTTCCATGTTCATTTTTTTTTAACTTCTCGGAGCAAAAGTTGTAGAGCGTAAAATTTGCAAAAACATGACAGTTAAAAATTTATGTTAATTTATTTATGTTAATGAAATTTATATTAATTTAATCGGGAAAGAGAGTGATCGTTTTTTTTTCCCATGAGAACGTAAAAAAACCACTATTTTCCCCAAAAATCGTGAAAAACTCGAAATCGGTTGAGAAATCTGGCAAACTGGAAGGTGACCAATTGAAAGCTTATTAAATAAAACCTATCGATTTCTATAGGGCGCCCCTCCAAAGACAATTTCCTGGCCCCACAGCTCGATTTGAAGTTTTTGTGAAAAGTGCAAAAATGGGCATGCCCCCTAATTTTCGAAATTACTGATGAATGAATGAAGCTAGGAAAATCCTTTTTCAAAAAATGCGACCTAGATAATCTAAACTTAAAAAGGCTGAGATATATATATGTTCGAAGTAGGCCTGCAATAACGATACTTTGATTTTACTCTTTTGTTTGCATAACAAATGCATAAATATGTAATTTTAATAATTTAATATTGCCCTTATTCTTCAAATATTTATTTATAAAGACTAAATTTTAATAACTTCAACATGAATGTAACGGATGTCGTACTATTATTACTTTTCTAAGGTACTTCTTTTAAGGTAAAAGTTAACTATGACAAAATGATAAAAAGTACGGATAATAAATAAAGATTAAATGTGTCATATCCACATCAAAATGGTTTTCAATCGTACTACATTCGTTGTTATAGAAAATACACTTACAATGCTATTGTTCTAAACTACTTTTTATGTGCTTCGTAATTTGCAAAATGATTGGGGTTAATTAATTTTTTATTCGAGGCTTTTAAATCTGTAATTATAATCGATGTTTTATTAATATGATACAAAATGTATCATATTATGATACCAAAATTCTTGTTTGTTATATATTCGGGAATTGCATCTGCCCAACAGGATTAGATTTCCTTTTAGATCGTGTCGCCACAACTTAGAAAATGTCTTTCACATCCTTCTACCTCCCAATTACGGACTAAGGACTTCATTTGAAATTATATTTTTGATGCTCTGTCAAAGGGAGTCTGATAAGTACGTTAAGTAATTACAGGATGCCGTGAATAGGATTATGTTGACGGGGGCCATTGTGCCCGATAAGTAGCATTTCGTTGAATAGGGATCCCATAGGGTCACCTTTCACCGGAGACCGGTGTTGTTGACAATGTAGACTTTCCTCGAGGATGTAGCGATATAAACAGGAGGGGTGGCTTGCGGATCAATAGCGAGAGAGAGAAATATCGAGGGGGCTTCGTCGCCATTTTAGCAAGGGGGTTAAGCAGGCGCCATTTTGTTTCTAATCCGTTACACTCGCTTTTCAGTCCCACCCTAATGGTAATTAGCATAATATATGAGCTGGGGTGCGGGGTTCCTAACAAGCTGCCAGCTCGGTGTTGCTTTTGACAAGGTCTGAATTACATGAATTGCAGGGGTCCGGTGTCCACTTCATTTCTGACAATTCTTCGCATGTTGTGTTTCTTTAATTTTTAAAAACTTTATTTTGTGAAACAATAAAATATGCTTTGATGATGCTTGAGCATCTCCGATCATCCTGGTCGGCCTATTTTTTTTTTTTTTTACATTCTTCAGTGGTTGGCTTGTAGTTTGTGGTACGAGCTGTGATAAATACCTTCACTTTTGATAAACGGACAAACGGATAAAAGATAAACGATTGATAAAAATACTCAGACCTACCATTGAACGTAGGGAAATCCAATAGCGCGTCTGAAAACGCCAGCGAGATTATAAGGATCACGATAACAAGTGATGTAAATTACAAAACTGTAGTTATTTGTAACAGTCTATGTTTATGATCCATGCAAAAATACTGGCTATTATTAATTTTTAATCTTTGAGTAAACAGACCAATTTGCACATGATGAAATAGAAAAATAAAACACTATTGCAGGAATGTAATAATTGGTAAATTGTTGTTTGCTGTTAATTATTAGAACTATACAGGGTATCTCGTGATCAGACGTCAATACGTCAGGAGTGTTTCCTAGATGAGTAAAAAGTTCCTATTGTACAAAGACAATTTGTATTTGAGGTATTTCACTTTTCGTCTTACTTCCATAGTTCACTTTTTTTTCATAAAGCCTAGTATCTCCTAAAATGTGTTTAATGCTTATTAGTAGCTCTTTAGTAGAGTTAACATCTCTGTACAGCGCCATATTTGTCAGTATTTACATAACCATGAAAATGTTAAACTGTACCAAGAACTTTGCAAATTCGTAAAAGTTTCTTATTATTAATTATTCTTTGTATGTAGTAATTATTCTTATTATTTCTTTGTAGTAATTATTCTTTGTATGTAAGGTCGTGGTTGAAATGAAAAAGTGGTATTCGAACCCACTAACTTTTTCATCGAACGACACTAACTTGTTCATTTCAATCAAAACCTTATTAATTATTCGACAAAGAATAATTAATTGAAAGAAGTAATTTGGTCAATCAGACCACTAAACATAATGGATTTTAAATAATTTTATTTCTTTTTTGCTTAAGGTTACAATAAAAAAACAAATAAAGATAATAGTGTTTGTAATGTTCTTGCCATTGTATGGTCAAATTTACAATAGAGTTAACATTTAATTAGATACGTCGGACTTTATGGAATATTTTATTTGTGTAAGTTTTAACTCACCTGAAAAGTGAAATATCTCAAATACAGATTAGGTTCAAACTTTGCCAAATGGGGACTTTTTCATTTTCACATTTAGGTTTACTTAGGTTCACCTGAAGTATTGAAGCTGTTCAGCGGACACCCATTTAAATCCATTATATTTAGTGGTCTGATTGACCAAATTACTTCTTTCAATTAATTAACTTTACATAAGGTTTTGGTTGAAATGAAAAAAGCTAGTGTCACGAGCGGGATTCGAACCAACGACCTTCGGCTTATATATAACAATATTTAGTACAATATTATTTATTTTATGTGTACATATTGTATGAATTTGGAGACAGGTATTTCAATAGATTTGGTTAAATTCTTCTATGTATTTAGAATTCAAACTTTAGTTCCTTTTCGTGATACATTATAAATATTGTATTTTAGAATAGATTTTAAATATATTTTCACGACATCTTTCGGTAAAAATTGTAAACTCGTTTAAAAAAAATAGTTAACTCTTCCTTAGCCCAAGTTTATTTCTATCCTCATCATCATCAAAAGCTAAGTGGTTGCGTGCCTCAAGATTCAATATCTATTATAAACTGAAACGCTTTGACATATGTTCTAGCCTAGTTATAAAATACGATAGATTCTTGTGTGATACAGATTAGTTCAGTTCCATAAAATAAATTTTCCTAGTTTCAAGAAAATTAATAGAAACGGCACCCGATGACATTGTAATAATATATATACTTCTTCTTTTAATAATATACTTCTTTTCCCTTGTGTTTTTGTCGTTGGCTAAATTGACACTTTTTTTACGTTTAATTGTGAAATGTATATTTTATGTGCGTGTTACACTAAGTTCGTCGACATATTCCTTTCCTGGCGGCAGCGTCTACTCCGGTCTGAAAGACCCAAGGAAGAAACATGGAGCATATAAAGATGAGGAAATGAGCTAGAAAGAGGTAGACGAACATAGAAAGTGCAGGAGCCCAAAACGAACACAGAGCCTATGGCGCATTTTATACCATAACCAATATCTCTCATAGGGAATGACGCATAATTCGAACAGAAGACAAAAATAAATCCTGATTTTAGCTATCGTGTCAAATAATCTGCCCGATGTTGGTTCTGATTTGCAAGATCAAAGTTAACAAGTCAACAATGCAAAATACAGTCCAGAATGCGTA